AGCAATGCCTTTGCAGGCCGGCTCGTATCCTGCTCAATCACTTCTTGGGCTGCATTCAAGATAGAACCTGCAGAGCGGTAATTGTCTTCCAACAGTACAACCGTCGTGTTTGAATATCGGTGCTGCATCCGCTTGAGATTCTGGATCTCCGCAGAACGAAACCCGTAGATGCTTTGATCCGGATCTCCGACGATGGTGATCCGTCGGTTCTTAGATGCGAAGAGGTTCATCAGTTCATATTGTATGATGTTGGTGTCCTGGAACTCATCCACCAAGACGGCCTGCACATTTGAGACACATTCTGGGTGGTCTCGGAGCAGATCCCCACACCGCAGAAGGAGGTCATCATAATCCAAGAGATTGGAGGCGGCCAGCGCTGATTCGTAGTCACGATAGATATCAACAAGCTCCAACTCCTCTGCTTTGGCTCTGTCAGCCAGGGCATCAGGACTGAGTCCATGTGCTTTATGTCGAGAAATTCGGCCTTGCGCCGCCTTGACTTCAATGCTAGACTTCAGTCGTTTAATGGTTCTCTGTAGTGACAATTAGAGAATAGAAACAAATTGATATAATTTAAAAGTACTACTCATACTCTGATAATTGCGCGGGTATCATCCGAATCCGCAATGCCAAACCCCTTCCGCAGGCCGATCAAGTATCCGTACTTGACCAAGTAGCGGCGACAGATGGAATGAAAGGTGCCGAGAATCAAGCGCGATTCGAGTTTTTCTCCAATGAGTTTTGCGAGCCGCTCCCGCATCTCACGGCTGGCCTTGATGGTGAATGTGCAGCATATAACATCTTGCGGTTGGTATCCGTGGTGCGAGAGGAGGTACGCGACGCGTGCGGTCAATGTTTTTGTCTTACCCGAGCCCGGCGGTGCGAGCACTTGCAGGATTGAGCCAGATGAAGTGACGGCTTCCCGCTGGGCATGATTCAAGCCGTCTAAAATCGGATCCATGACATGTGGGGTGTTTGCCAATCCTCGGGTGTTTGTGAGGGGGAGACGCGAGAAAACGCGACGTCATGTGACACTTCCACTCTACATTGAGGACACTGTTTGAAGAATTAATGGATTGGTACGGAGTACTTGCTAACTACCTGTCTTCGATTGTGAAAATTTGATAATTCAGATACGAGCCCTAGAGATGGTATTGAGGGGATAGTTGTGAGACGGCAAGCCCCAAAGACGTCTGTAGAGTGGATGGATTGCGGTTAGAATAGAGGGAGCTTATGTCCAACCTTGTGGCATCCTACCTATAGCTATGCCTACTTTTCACTTGCGTAGTCTTCTGGTATATGCTGATGGTATTCTTGCAGCAAAAGCGTAGGCGCTGCTCTTGAGTCTCAAAATTCGTACTTTTTTTCACTATATAAGAAGAGTAATCAACATGAGTTTTTAGCGACACTTCCAAATGTTAAGCTTCATGCTAATGGGAATATTTATTGATACATGAATAAGGCTTTCATTTTACCACCCCTTTAGTTCAGCCTGACAGCCCCTCTACCTAACTCCACTATGAAATTACCGAGATTGGCAGGTGAGGCTTCAAATCACTCGTTCGGCATATAAACGAGTCCAAGTGCCACTAAGAACAGCACGAGATACGCAAATTCACCAGATTGACACATAGGATGATACCTTAACGTCAGCCATCTGGTCATTATGTAACTAATAATACATTTCACATTGGCATTTGACCAAGGCGGAAAAGTCTAACCAAGTGGAATTGGTACTTTTGTACTTTTGTACAAAGACTGAGATAGTTATATTCCTGTACCTCGGATGTATCATCGCATGACTCGTTCACAAAGCCCCTTCCCATCTTCTGTTGGCGATATTTTGATTCAGCCTTCAGGAGTGGGCCCGATGTCTCCCGCCGTGCCGGATCCCGACCTGCCTATCTGATACAAGCGCTCCAGCAACGCGGGACATGCCTGACCATTTCAAGGATGCACGGCCCATTATTATGTGGCGAAGTTCGGGAGTGCGCTGCCGTCATTGTTTCCAGAAGGCCAAGTATTCCGTAGGGAAGAGAGGGTCTCGGGATGGGTGATAGTAGTAGACGCGGCCATTAGTCCATAAAAGGCAGGTCCGATAAAGTGTTGTGCTGGGCTTCGCTTCCATTTTCGTTTTAGTGTTTACCCTTCGCTTATCACTTGAGCATAATTCTTATTTGCCTAGGCCCTAGGGGTCTATATTCATCTTATGCATGACTCTAGTTAACCTTCTTACTATGGATGTATTTCTCGATCAAGTCCACCGAACCTGCCGATTGCAGAACCTTATCTCCCTCTAAGATAGTTCCAAAAATAAAACTCCGATACGTCTTTCCTATGTGACTCCAATGTTTCTGGTGTGTTACCGGCGAGGCGTGGACAATATTAGAAGATCAAGCGATGTTACGTCATGTCCGTCGACAAGGTTAGAGAAACCAAGCTGTAGAGGATACCAGGTACGTAGGCAAGTCGTCTGATTTCAATTTCAATCTGTGCCCCCCTGAGATCCGAGATGAAATGAATCGGATACTCACTTAGACGGAGGAATTGCTACTTATAAGCTAGTGCCGGACAAACACTCGGAATATTGGAATAGCACGCAAAGCTTAGCATCCAGAGTGTCTAACAGCAGACATGACAGACAATATAAATCGATGCACGGGCCAATTTGGCTATCCACACATGTCCGGACCCCACTGGTTTAATATTTTGGGACCGTCACGACAGAGTACACGACGCCTAAGAAGCAGTACCCACATCCTGGTGGATTCGTATCAAGGGTTATCCCGGGATCAAGCGGAATATTCCCCTTTAGGTGGACCTCGTTACAGTCTGTAGGACATCACTTTGTTCAATGAGGATTCCAGAATCAAGCCCTTCGAGTTAAGAGGCCCAGGATAGAAAAGGCACTGTGCCAATGCAACGGCACATACGGATGGAATAGCTATTTCTCGATCAAAAGAAGACTCCGTATTCGGAATATAATGCTCGCTTGAGTAACGCTTGTCTGAATCATGCAAATACATCACCCCAATCACACCAGTATATGCCCAACCGAAATGAAATCACAAATATTCTCAGGAGGGTATCACGTCAACATATGCCTTGAGACTAATCAAGGATTTCGAAAAAGAACGACAATAAAATCAAGAGAAGATACCCAAGGGCAGGGTCATGGCCACCTCAAAGTTGGGCACGTTAACCACTTCAGCAATATGCAAGTCACCAGCAACACTAGCAATGATGTATGCCTCGCTGCGAGTGAGACCCTTAGTCTGCACCAACCATTGTATAAGACTCCGAGTAGCACTTCTGGTAGCCTCGTATAGGTCAGGAGCAATACCGAGAGCACCATAGGTTCCAAGGTCGGGAAGAGGGTTCGGTATTTGGGCACGAGGGGGAGTCTGGAACTGGGGAGCAGTCATCCAGGGTTGGTTCTTGAGGAGTTCGAAGCGGAGGGTAGCGCGGATCGGGGTTTCGATGGCGGTGCCGCAGACCTCGCCGTGGCCCTGTGCAGCGTGACCGTCACCGCAGCTGAAGAGGGCGCCGGCGGTTTGGACGGGGAGGAAGACGGTAGAGCCGACGCTGAGCTCTCGGCAGTCCATGTTTCCGCCGGCGTTTGTGGGCGGCACGGTCGAGAGTTCTTCGTCGTTGGCCGGGGCGAGACCCATGCAACCGAGGAAAGGACGCAGGGGGATCCGCATGTGTTTGAATTGGGCGAAGCCTGCTTCGCGGTTCAGCTCCCAGATCTTGATCTCTGGCTCTGGGAATTCGTCTGCCAGCAGACCGAAGCCCGGGATGATGGCGGACCAGCCCCAGTCAGCAACCTCAAGGTCTAGGACTTCCACCTTGAGGACATCGCCGGGTTGGGCGTCGTTCATATAGATCGGGCCGAAGACAGGATTGGCCAGGCCGAGATCCAACGTCTTGATGGCTGAGGCCTCGGATGATGTGTTGAGTTGGCCATTGCTACTGTCGATGGCATCGAAAGAGACAGTCTCACCGGAGGAGATGGTGAACTTGGGGACGTTTCGACGGGACCACTTGAGGTGGCCACATTCTCTTCCCACATGGAAGTTGCTCCATTCTTTGGGTGCCATGTCGGATGTTTGAGGGTTGCTGTCAGGATCAAAGAGATCCAATATATGGAAAGATAGTCCTGAACGCAACAGAAATGGAAAAATCTGACTTGAATGGGAAGAAGGAAAACCCGTGGGATAGACGGGCGATTTGTATGTAACGAGCTCGGGAGATCCTCTTCAGGAATGACCGTTCTGGAAGGTGGCTACAGCCGGATCTTATGCTTCTTTTTGCCAGCTCCACCCCGAGACTGAGTCGCCTGCCTAAAGTGGTTTGACAGGTTTCCAACAGACCGGTCCTGCCCCCCCATGTCGGAGCCTCTGCTTTCAACGGTAGCTCCATTGGTGTACGAAGGATCCCGAGGTCTGGTTGGATAAAACAGGGACCGACAGTAAGCGATAAGGCACCCTTGGAAGGCGGGGGAGGTTACGGAGGATCCGATTGTAGCATTTGATACGGAGTGCAGAGGGTGCATATGCACTGCGGTTCTAGATTCAGTTTATACAATATAAAATTCAAATTGCATCATTTAATGGGACGAAAGTACAAAACCCTTGGAAGCCGCGGAGAAGCCAAGTTTTCCTTCGAGTTTGTAGATTCCACCAAGGGTTCTCCGTCTAAATACGCCACGATTGATTTGCATACATTTTTTTTCTTTTTTTTTCTTTCCCCCCAGTCTCGGAGGAACAATCGAAAAGAAGAAATAGTCGAAAGATTTTAATATGAGGAAATAATAATATTCCAAAATTCCAAAATAGTCCAAACCACCTTCTTCATTGGGGAAGGCGCGAACCGTTGGTAGGCCATGAGTGGCACAGCTGCATAACATTTTCCGGGTGGAACTTTGCCCAACTCGGCTAACTACTCTAGGACTATAAGTACGGAGTATATCTTGTGGCATTGAGGTAATATTCTACATCTCACGATACCCTTCCATCCAGCATCGCTACAATACACGTTGCATTGTCACTGTGAGGCTTGTTCGCACTATTGGTGGCGATTTCTTGTGCAATCTCATTCGCTCGTTTTCCCCGCATCGACAACTTCATCACGTGCTGAACCAGGCTTGTGTCGTCCAATCGATCAGTAACTCCGTCGGACACCACTAGGAGCAGGTAACGGCGGTCTGGGTTCAGTGTCCGTCGCGAGATGTAGGGGTCATTGGATAGGAAGTTGCCCCGAGACTCCGTTCGGCTGCTAGCCGACGCGGCGGGGTCCAGCACGGAGTTGTCCGTAAAGGTATTATTCACCGGATTCTTGTACTGCAGGTCGCCTAGGGCTCGAGACATGTTCAAGGAACCTGTCGCTCAAGAGTTAATATTCAATTTGGAGGCCAGTTCTTTTTCTCAACCCACCAATGCGCTCTGTACCGCTGCGGTCATTGACTTGCCCGCCTGCTTTCTCAATTCGGGTCTTCTCGCTGGGGTCGGAGGGCTTGTGGGCCTCTGTGAGACGTCGCTAGTATGTGGTTGTTAGTATCCACGCTCAAACCACCTCGAGTTGACGACAGTGCGCACGATGTGATACGGGTGCTCTGTTTTCCGGTCCCGCTCGGCCAGGATAACATGCGAATCGCCCAGATTGGAGACGACCAGCTCGCCCTTGGTGAGATTAATGCAACACAATGCCACTGTCGATCCTGAAATGGCAGGCTCGGCAGATTCATGCTTGAACCTATCCAACATAATGCTGTCTTCTTCCGCCAATGCGGCTTTGATAGCCGCAGGCCAATTACCTCGTTCGAACTCCGGATGCTGTCCGATCAAGTGGTGCAAACAGCCATTAACATGATCCGAAACCAATCCAGAACCACTGGAGATATTGGTCAGCTCGAGACTAGTGTAAAGGACGCATTTTGAGGCTTTTCCTACTGTCCATCATAGATTGCGAAGAATGCAACTTCGTCCTTCACCTCCGAAGGAAAATGATTGGGAAAGATCACTGTGCTCCGATCCTCTTGATGCTTCCTACCACCCTGGGACTGCCATTTGATTATTGATAAGTATAATTGTACGAGGGCTATGCGCCTTGACACTCACTTGACCAGCCCCGGCATCAAGAAGTGTGACTGTGTCTGAGGTAGAAATTGATTTCCGGAAAATCTGGTCCCTCAGAGCTTTGTGAGCCACAACCATGCTTGCGCAGTTGGCATACAGAATCAATCTCTCCTAAGGGCATACCATCGCGATATATGTAGATGATGGGGCACTGACATCATGAACGCGTTCTGTTTTCGATTGCTGTTTTATTTACTACCGATATCCAATTGGTGGCTTTCAATGGCTTCCCCGATGGCTTCCCCGGAGTTCTTCCTTTACTCCCCAGATAGTTTCTTTCCTAGCAATGTCTGATATTTGACTGCAATGGTTCTTTTCGGAACTTGGGGGTAGACAGCGTAGAAAATAACAATTTTTTCTCTAAATGTCTCAATTTAATTAGTCTAATTAATTAACAAAATTATTGAATATCACTTGACCAAATAGTATTTAACCTTCTATTAAGCATATCTCGAATGTTGCATATTTATAGCGCACGGACCAATTTTCTCGGCGAATCTGCAAGATTGTGATTCTAATCAGGGACAACATTCTGGACTACTTTTCTCACTTTCACTGCCTTTCTGATTTAGTCGGTATGGGTTGGGTAGCTGTGGGTGTGCTTATCGCAACAACGGGCTACTTTCTCTACCGTTACCCTCCTCGCAGCTGGGTCGAACCTCGTTCTTTTGCCTCTCCGGAACCTAAACCCGACGCGCCGGTTGCTGCCACCGCAAGCGAGCCTGTGCAGCGGAAGCATGGCCCACGGGCCTCGACGCCATCAATAGAGACAGAGGAGGAGGATTCCCAGAGCACACCCAAGGCTTCGGCCTCGAGCGTACCACTCCCCGTCCTTGCGGTCCCCACATTCAGCCTAGACAGCGGCGGAAGCGAGACATCGCAAGCTGCCGCGATGCCGTCCATTCCACAAACCGTGAATGGAACAGCAGAGGAACGACCTTCGACAAACCATGAGGCACCAAAGTTCAAACCGCCACCGCAGCCATCCCTCGCACCCCCTCCAAAACCACAACCATCTATACCCCCGAGAGCAACAACAACCGGCACTTCTTCCCTAATGCCTCCTCCCCCAGTACCACGGCCCCGACCAGCAACTCAGGCGAACCGCCTCGCCCCCACAAGCACACTTCAACCCCCACGGCTCAGCGGCAACTCCCTCGGTCCACCACCATCAGCAGCCGCCTCCCAGCGCGGCCTAGGCGCACCGAGGAGCGGCAGTCGTCTTAGCAGCAGCACCCTAGCCCCGACACAAGTATCCTTGAAAAAGTCGTCATCGCGCAAAGTGGTTCTGGAGCCGGGATTCTCGCCCCTTGACTGGGCAGCGCTAGCAGCGAACCCGAAGAACAAGCTCCGCGGCGAAGGCCTTCCCCCAGGCCTTTTGCGGGTCACACCGTCAATGCTGAAGGAGCAGCACGGACGTAAGGGTCGTGATGCCTGGACCTCGTACCATGGAAAGGTGTACAATATCTCGCCCTACGCCCCTTACCATCCAGGTGGGAAGGGTGAACTCCTTCGAGGCGCGGGGAAGGACTCTGCACAGTTGTTCCAGGAGATCCACCCGTGGGTCAACTGGGAGGGGATCCTTGGCGAGTGTCTGGTAGGAATTCTGGTTTCCGAGCATGATATCCAAACCGAGAATGCTCTGGACGCGATGGACTGATACATGGTCCACTTTATTATTGTTGTTTTACTTCGCTGTACTTGTTCAGCCGGTTTGTATACAGTGTACATCTTACCCCACATAAATGAGATACCCTTCTGCTATATCATAGAATAAATCGCATGCAAAAAGGTATATTTGTTCTTAGCCGAATATGACGGCCTTGTCATCAAAATCCATCCCAGATAGTCACATACGTAGGTATCAAGCACCGCACACTCAAAGCTCATCCTTCACACCATCAATACCGACCAACTCGGTCTCAAATACCAACGTCGCACCGCCGGGAATCGGCCCGACACCGCGGTCGCCGTATCCGAACTCGGGTGGGATAGTCAGCGTGCGCTTCTCGCCAATGCACATATCCAACAAGCCCTGGTCCCATCTGTATACAACGAACACACGAATTAGCTTCCACGCGAACAACGGATAATAAGCAGCAATTGCAGATTGACATCCACAAACAGCCCCGGGCAGCTTTTAACTTACCCCTTGATAACACGACCGGTACCCAGCTTGAAGGTCAAAGGCGATTTGCGGTTGTAGCTGGAATCGAACTCAGATCCGTCGGACTGAAGTGTGCCGCGGTAGTGCATGGCAACTCCGTCGCCGTTGACGGTCTTGCGGGTGCATTCGACAGCGTGGGTTACTTCGATGCCGAGGTCGGCGGCAGCTGCGAGTGAGCCGAGGGCTGCGACGAGGATGGAGGTGAGACGCATTTTGTGTTTATGGGGTGGTTTGGGGAGAGGGGAATTGGAGAGATGTGGACAGATGGGCGGAGATTGGACCGAGGTTTAGCGTTGGTCTGTGCTTTAAGCTTACATGTATGGTTGCGGTTGCAGTCCATGATTGTCAATTGGTGATTTCTACAAGGGATTTATTGCTTATTGTCTAGGTTTTATCATTGCTCTTTGGACTAGACGAGAGAGGGGACTCACAAGGCACTAATTGGTATACATTACGACGCCAAAGGAAGCAGACTGGAGATACGTAGGTGGCTGTAACTATAGACTTCGGGATTTGAAGATATTGTGTTATCGTGGACTACAAATATGCGAATATCCCACAGTGGTTCTACCTAAACAATTGAGATATGGAAACTGGGTTTGGAAGCCATATGGGGATATTATGATATCCCCATTCTCGACCTTCGGCCATGCCTGACGATTGCAGTGCACCGCAATTCTAAGCCGTCACCGTCTGATTCACGAATTTAACATCACGAAAACCCGGGTCCATGACCTGATCAGCAGCCGCCTGCAAATCGTCCTCGCCCATATCACCATCCCAGCCATTGGCAACGAGATAAGCACGGAACTTCTCATCACGCACCCTCAAATCTTCGCCCGTCAAATCAGGCACAAAGAAGTAAGTCACTAAGATCCCAACCACGCCACAAATAGCAGCAATAATAAAAGTCCACTTGTTCCCCAGATGAGTCTTTATAGGCTGAAACGCTTGTGTACCGATAGCAGCACCTGCCTTCCCAATAGCCGCAGAGAGCCCATAACAAGTCCCTCGCACACCGGTAGCATACGACTCAGACGAAATCAAACCGAGCATATTTCCCGGACCGAAATTGCCCGAGCTCTGCATCAGTCCATAGAAGACGACGAAAAGAGGCACGATCTTAGTAACGCGTTCATAGGCGCAGCCGATAATCAGGCCAAAGATCAGGTATCCGCTGAATCCAATCATCATGATGGGTTTGCGGCCAAGGCGGTCGCAGAGAATGGCCCCGAGGAAGACGCCCGGCAGCGCGATCGCGCCGAGGAGGAGCTGCCATTCGCCTGTTTGCAGGATTGTGCCGTTGTGCACGACCGAAGAGATGATTGTACCGGAGAAGACACCGTTGGGGAAAGTGACAAAGTCTATATATGTTAGTAACTACACGTCTGTAAGTACTGGGGGGGTCTCTTACCGTAAAGAAACCAAGCACCGCAAGTCCCAATCAATGCTTTCCAGTAATACCGCAGCACGAGCATGTAGGGTACGTGTTTCTTGATCGCTCCACGTCGGTACAGCACCGAGTTCAGCATGCGGATCCGGAAGTAAAACACCGACAGCGGCCAGATGCATCCTATGCCAAAGCACACCCGCCACACGGTGCTGTAGTGGGACTGCTGGCAAACTGAGAGTACGATTAAGAAGATTGACACCGCGAATGGGCCCCCAAATGACAGGGGAAAGTTGGTTACCATGATGAACGCTGGGCCACGGTGCTTCGGGGTTAGATCGTTTGCTGCTTCCGAGGCGGAAGTTGAAGAGGCTGGATACTCGCCACCGGCGCCTGAGGATGATTAGTAGAGTACACAACTCGGAATGATAGTTTTGAGATATACAAGCAAGGCAAATATATCGAGGGTCACTTACCGAATCCGACAACGCCACGGGCCACCGTCATCATCCAGAACATACCATCGATGGTAACGCCATGCGAGGCCGTGGCCAGGATACCTCCGACGACGATCATAAGGGTTGTAAAGACGATGGCGGTCTTACGGCCAAGATAGTCGCATGTCAGTCTAGTATAGAATATCAGTCATCAGAACTCGTCCATAGCCTTAATCAGCATTGTTTCGTGCGTACCCAATAACAACCTGCCCAATGACTTCGCCAACAAGTAGAGCATTCGAAACGCGCGTGCTGACCGTGGTAGTGTACTCCTTAGGATATTCCTTTTTGAGAAGGACATTGGTCATAGTCCTATGAGATGTTCCGTGGTTAGATACAGTCGTGCATGGGGACAATCGCTCGACCCACATCAAATTGTTCTGGTATCCATCGCTGATCAGAGCGAAGCCGCTTGCAAACTATTGAATAGTATCCACTTTGGTCAGTCTGTCATTCGCTAACTTGAGCCGCGAGTGCGGGGAAAGCAAGAAGAAATCTGGTATGAATAGGCTAGGATGAAGTACTCACAATAGTGAAGAGGTCTGACAGACTTTGTTGCTTCAACGACATACCCGATGAAGGAGCAGAGTCAACTTGGTCGATATTATCTTGAGTCGCAGCCTTAGGGAGCGCGGTCAAGTCGCTTGCCGAAGCCATTTCGACAGCCTTGAGAGATGGGAGTTGGAAAAGGTTGGAACTGTGGCCCTTTCAGAAGGAAAGAGGGAACAAACAAAGGGTGTCACGCACCCCTCGTAATTCTCTCCTCTTTATCCCATTTTCCACCTGCTGTACGAGTTGGAGCGGGGAATCCCAGTCAGGAAGCAGCCCTATGGAGGAAATGGTTAAGCGGATGCTAGGGGTATTTTGAGGCGTCTTTTGATTGTTCTGATTGGTATAGAATTTAACCTAATTGCTTATCCACGGTTCACCTCGGGGTAGGGCTTGGTATACCTCGGATAAGCACGTGTCTACTATTTGACTGTTCCTGAATAGTTCTGATGGAATTATTATTCATGAACTTAAGAAGGCGATACATTCGCTAAAATAACGCCGGATAGACGAATGGCTAAAACTGCTCCGGATCCCGTGGATAGCACAGATGCAGACAATATCTGACCATAATAAAAAAAACTGGCAAAGAAAAAGCAAAGACATGACACATTATTAGGAGAGAAGAGTGTCCCCATAACTTTTCTCATCATCATGGAAGCAAAGACCCCTCTAAGCCCATTTTCCAAGCAACGCCATGAGGGCAGCTCCGGCACAAAGAAGGAAGAAGGCAATCAGCACGTCGCGGAGGGGAGCCTGGCGCATGGAGGGGCTGAACATGAACTCGTGTGCCATAAGCTCAACGAGGGCAGTGTAGATGAGAATGCCAGCGGAGATAGAGTCAAAGATACCGTTGACGATGAGTGTGGTTCGTCCAGTAGGCGGGTAGCTGTTTCGAACACCCAAGCCAATGGCAATGGCAATCGGAGTCGAGATTCCGAAGCCAAGGCCTAGGAAGTAGGGAGTGTTGCGCTTCGACTTGGGCCAGGGAACTGTAGCGAGACGAGCACCAAGACCAAGTCCTTCAAAGGTCTGATGGAAGACAAGCACAATGTAAAGGGTAATGAACTCGGCGCCTGACACTGCAAGAGTGAGACCGATGAAAACAGAGTGGAAGATGATGCCGAACTCCAGGATGAAGATCGAAGTAAGCTGAGCGGCATAATCCTCAACCGCTTGGATGTCGTTCTCGGAGTCGCTGTTGTTATCGTGATGCTCAAGGGTATGACCAAGGTGATCCTCGCCTGGCATGTGAGTCTTCGGCTCGTTGGTTTCGTTGATAATAGAGTGATCATCGAGTTGGGTGTGGGTATTGCCTTCCTCGTCGTGCACATGACCTTGGCCAAAGTGCGAGAAACGCATAACCATCAGCTCCACAAAGAATAGGACAACAATGGTCATGAGGATGATGCCCTCCACCCAGCTGTACTCAGTAATTGGACCGGTCAAGCACTCATTTTTCAGGGCTTCCTCCGCCGGACCCAAGAGATGAATGAAAGCAGTGGCAATGATCACACCAGATCCGAAGTACTTGGCGACGAAAAAGGCCCATTTGGGAAATCCACCATTCTTGCTAAAGCGACGGGCGAAGACCGGGAACAAGGCACCAAACATGGAGCCCGCCATGATCACAAAGACGGAAGAGATCCGCAGGCCCATCCGGCCGTCGAACTCATTCCCGGAATCACAAGCGTCCTCACGCTTGAGGAGAGTGGAAAAAGATTCCATCTCGGTTTATTGGTGATACGAGAAGTATGGGGAAGTGTAGAGGTGGGACGAGAAGGATGTGTTTAGGAGCCAATGGAAGTGAACAGAATACACACGACTTGTGCAAGTTGTCCAATGGAGGAGAGAAGGATTTGTGATCTAGTTGAGGGGAGAATGTGCGAGGCTTGACTGCAATCCCCAAGGTCCTCGATGGTAGGCGAGATGAGTCGTTGATCCACTAACCATGCATGCAATTACCAGGAGATCCTGACTTTGATACTGATTGAACGGAAGATATCGAGAAGGAAATAGAGGCTTGCTTTTCTGAGGGAACCTAACCGTATAGATAATAAATCAACGAGTTCCTTTAAAGGAAAGACAGAATCAAAACCGAATCAGAATTTGCGGGTTTTTGATTACATTAATCACGAAGTAGCACTGGAGGGGATCCATGGGGACCTTGGGAGTGCGAAGACGTCAAGGATTGATTTTTCTACTCCATCGGACCGGTACCAGGTACTTGAGCGCCCACACAATTTTGGTTGCATCCGAAAGTACCCGGTACCTAACACTAGCGTGTTGAGGACCTTGGGGGTCAGTATCCGATTGCGGTCGCGGTGATCAAGTCACGTGTATAGGAAATGAGGTCTTTCCTGTGTTCCGTGGTCGTTGTTCCATCTTTTCATTCTGTATGGAATAGGATAGGAAGACTGGAATGATTCGAAGGTTTTGAAGGAACGTGGTTGACAGCCCCTTGAGGCAAGAGTCCTTTCAGCCCCTTGCACGCGTCTCGATCGCCAATCAGAGGTCGGCGGCAACAGCGCTTGGCAATGGTCTTGAGGTCATAGGGAACTCGACCGCGCCCTTGCGCAGCACATTCGAACATGGCACCTATTCGACGATACCTCCGCATCAGCAAATACTCAGTACTGGAATGTCGCATTTATCTCGAATACCCACCCGATTCACGATGGCTCTTGGACTCTCGCGATCCTGTCCTCCCGCGCGTCATCGCTGCCGTTCGACCGTCGGTCCTTCCGAAGCTGCGTGAAGAGAATGAGCGGTTGTTCTTGCGCAAGAAGGGCAAGCCAGTCAAGGATGTCATTATAGAAGGTATAGACCTCTCTATCTCTGTATAACGAATCAAGTATCTTACACTACCTAGATGACTTCGAAGTGGCCATCTTCCTTCGCCAATCCCGTACCCGCCATTCGCTCCTCACGCGCAGCAAGACATTCCAGGGGAAGGATAATGAAGATCAAGACGTACAAATGGAGGTGGCACCAGACCATGTCTCGGGCGATACAGCTGCCAAGGTTAACTCAGATGGCGAAATCATGATCGAGAGTGACAGTGAACCTGATCTGGAATTGCATAATATTCCCGAATCTGCGGATGAAGTTGCCCTAGGGAATGGACGTCGGTCGAGCAAGAGAAGGAGGACAACCAGGGAAGGCCAGGTGCCACCTGAAGACACGACTGGCAGTGACGAAAAGAAGCTCCGTTTTAGCACGCATTATGAGAGCTTCATTATCCATGGATGGGTGCTATGTCTATTGATCACCCGCAAGGGCGACAAAGCCAGACCAAGTGCTGCGGCATCTGAGTCGAATCGGCCTCTGATGGAAGAATGGATTTCAACCCAAGCCCAGGCGTCGGTTGACGACGATTGATCAAGCTAGATAGCTAGCGTTTGTGGGCCTGGCAATTATCAGTGTGGCTGACAGGGACCTTGCTTACTGTCAAGCTTTCCCAACCTCGTACTGTGGGCAGCCGTGGTGGGATGATCAGTGGCACATGACCCTGTGACACTGCCCGCACTGCCCGCACTGTCAAGCACAGAATACGATTATGAGTGATGTGATGTTCAAACTCCCTGCAAACGTCACAAAATTGTGCTTCATCGGTCCCTGTTGCAAACGGGAGAGATATTTTGTTTCATCTTGTTGAATCATAGGTTCAGGGACCCATGTCGTGCGGTCTGTCAACTCCTTGATCTACGAGACTAGGTGTCCCTGATGAGAGCCTAAACCTTGCCACTACCGCGAAATGAATTGCACTGTGTAATGTTATTTTATGATGGGCAGGTGGGTTTCCGAAGATCAGACAGGTCACGCAAGTGGCAGGCTGTCAGACTCCCCGGATGACTTCTTCAGGCACGGTGCCGGCAGACAGAGCCGCTGAGATGGAAATGACAACCACGAGACACGGGTGCATGCAAATAGTGACATCTCGATGATCTGCATGCAATAAGACATAATGTGATATTGACTTTTTTACTCTGTACTCCGTAATGATTCTCGTTTTGCATGTCTCGGTCGCATTCGTGACACGGCAGAGAACACGGACAAGGGCATGGAAATATTCCAATTACTTCGGAGACATTCTGATTCCACATATGAAAACCCTATGTGGTAACTATGGGCTCTCAACCTCGGGCCGCAACTTCCAGAAGGCAAGCTAGAAGATTCTCAAGTGGAGCTTCAGCCTTGACCTGAAACAGCCCGTCTCCGTCTTGTCCCGTGACCCCAACCAACACCTTCTTAATGGGGAAGTATGTATTCTGGTCCCGATGTGCTGGGTTCGGGGGCATAAGCCTCAGTACCGAAAATTTAATACAAATCACATGGCTAAAAAGGGTTTTTTGGTTGAACTATATTTTATAGTGTATGTGTACTCAACCTCAGATCTCTTCTTTAAAATCCCTTGGCTCTAAATCAACAGCCAATAGACAGGCCATATCAGATATCTCAAACCGATCGTAGCACGATCAGGGGTAACTTCCGATCTCTTTACTAGTAGCAAGCTGAACTCGTCATAAATCTCCGACTTCAAATCGCAACTCCACAGCTTTTATTTCCAACGGTGCGGAACGGTGAGATGGAAATCCAAGTGGAGCTGACTTTGCCTAATTGGGCTCGTTTATTGAAGTCTGCGGTCCGCTAGTTCATGGGTAGAGTTTTCTCCCATGTGCGTTTTGCCCTTTTTTTTTGCCACTTTTCCCACTTTTTTCTTTCCCCTTTCTTGGTTCGCCGACCCTTAGCTCAGGTACACCCGTGTGGTCGCATACAGCTTTCCAAGGTACAGATGTATCTTTGCCACTTTGCCCCACTTTGGACTCCGTACATTTCATCGGACGCGGTAGGCCTAGTCAAATTATGCTGTTGCTACGGAGTAACGTACCGAGTACTCCGTACGGAGTCCAATTGTTATCATAGCATTTGTAATTCCTTTTACCTACCCCTTTGAGTATATGCGGGGGTTTCATTTGCAAATCCCGGGTACCGTTATATGTTTTATACCTGCATTTGCAACATAGGGCATGTGAGAATTCTAGATTAGCACGGGCTTACTATATAGGGCGGAGTGCATCTGCGTGGATTTCCAGAAGTACGGAGTACGGAGTACAATCAGTAATATAATCCCTCTGCCTGGATTTGCCGTGATTTCAAAAGGGCCAAAAACAGGGAATGATGGCGGAATGTAACGGGTGACCATTGCAGTACATATGTTAGGGCCAGGTAATTTCCGGGGAAGATTGTAAGCACCCCGAAGCTAGGGAATTTCTAGGTAAGTAGTACTGCATAGTCCGTCCGGAGTACACTATATACTTATATACACTTCGACCTTCAGTGCATACCACACTACACACATTCAACGAAGTAAGTAACCGCTACCCATAATAATCACGCCATGAACGCCACACCAGGGGTGAAGTAGATCTTCCACCGTGAAACACCAGGCCCAGTGATGTGCACAATGTAACCACTAAGAAGATGAAGGAAAAGTTGGACAAACCCCTCTCGATGCAATGCTCACCAATAGCCAATAAACATAAGGACTGGGGTCATATATTGCATACGGAGTACAAGGATCCATCCTTCTCCAGATGTACGACGCTATTCTGCATGCTTTCCAAATGATGATGTGCAATGCACAGTCCTCTGCAGTAAGACGATCATACCTAGGGACTATCAGCCACACCTACTATAGGCGGAGGCTGATCGGCTCTGTAATCCGTCGGAGATGATGGTACACGCTAAACGACCCAAAACGGCTTTTATCTGTATTACATATTGTTATTAGAGCCCCGGAGGGCCTAAGCGGGAGGAGCAAACGATAAGGAATTATGTACGGGGTACGAAGCATATAATGAAATGTAATAATAGCCGAAGTGCTTACGGAGAAGTAAATGCGAAACCCGTGGGTTAAGGGACTGACATGCATTACCCCAAAGAGTTCTTTTCTATTCTTGCATGTCTCAATCACGGCTTTATTTGTTTGGTAGCACGGGTAGAAACCACGGTTGAGGATGGGTCCTCGATTCGAGATTTCAAGCCTGCTTTGCTTTTGCCTCTTGCTTTTTTATTTTATTTTATTTTTATTTTTGGGAATTATTTATTTTGGAATTATTTATCCTTTTTTTTCCGTCTTTTCTCGTCGGCCCCTGAGACCGTACCACCCTGTTTGTTGCTATCTGGATGGCGTATAAGTATCAGGCTAAACTGGCAGAAATAGCGCGTGTCTGATATGTCATATCAGGTTGTTTGGGATGCCGGATGAGCAGGCTTATCCTTATTCTACAATCCCAGCATCTTGGGAACTCGGCTGTCACACCCTTTTAGTGTAATCAATACGAATCGGCCATCCCGTTTGACCCTAAAAAGAATGAAAATTCTCTTTTTCTTTTTCTTTTTCTTTTTTCTTTTGCTTTTTCTATTTTCCTTTTTTCCCCTTTGCTTTTTTTCTCTCCCGCTAACGCTCCTTCGCTCTCGGGATCTGCAAACATGCACGTGTTGTGCCCTAACGTCTTGCTGTTCTCTCCTATTGAGTCATACAGGATGAATGTGCATGGACCTTTGCCGTTTATCATATTCCAATTACGGCAGTACTCTGTACAGTTGCACAACTAATAAGATGACATATTCAAAAAAGAAAAATAGAAAAAAAGTCGTTCTCACCGCATCAAGAAACCGTCTCTATGGAGCCTCGGTGGGCCCACGGGAGATTGCCCTTTACTAGTTGTCATCTCGCGTGGTTTCATGATTGAGTATATACGCAGAGGGGGGTTGTGAAACCTGAATATAAATTTGGGAGCTGCATAAGTGAGCCCATATATGCTGGACTGCATTGGTACTATGGATATTGCTCAGGTAGCACGGCATAGATGTCTAATTACTGTGTCTCATTTTCCTCCGCTCTCCTCCACTAGTGGTTCACAGGAAACACAAGCCACAGAAGTAGTGGAGAGCTTCTAGAAAAAAATGGGAATTTTCCATTGGATTTCCACTTGGGGTGCATTATTCATCCGTTACCCGGGCTAATTCGAGCAAGTAAATCGCAATAAAATTCCCTACGTCAGATCAGGTGGATACTCAGCCTCCTGTTCATGGCAGGGATGTCCGATGGGGATTTTAGGAACTAATTTAGTCTGTAATTAGTGGTTGGCCGGAAAGGTTGGGGGAAAGGCAGACGATTTCTATAAGAGTCCTGCTCCGGTTAACTTTTTTTCTTCCCCTTCTTCTCTCCATCCAAATCTACTCTACTCACATCGTATCTTGCTACATATACTAGCCCATCAGTCTTCCAGTCTGTTGTCAGAACTACGATCGACTCTCAACCTCCTAACTTCAACTCCCAACTTCCAACCTTCAACCTTCAACCTTCAACCTCCAACCTCCAACCTCCAACCTTCCAACCACAATGCCTTCCATCGGATCCTCTCAGTTCCCTCCATGCCCCGGTCCTCCTCCTAAGGGCCCTTTGCCTCCGCTGCCGAAATAAACAGTCCACAGTCCCCTTTTCTCAACGAACATGATGACTCTGGCGCATTCTGGTCCTCCCAGATCCGCCCACGACCTGGACCCTCAGCATGGATCTCACGACCTCGACTTCGACCTAGTTTCGGCTCTTACCTGCGATCCTTTGTTTCGATTCGGACTTTCAACACCTAATTTCCACTACGTTCCGCCCAAACAAAGGACGCCCTTGCTTAAAGTTGGGGTTTGAGACGGACAACACAAAGAGAGCGCTCGCTCTTCCACCGTCCATTCACATCTCTTGACATTTTACTTCGACGCCTCGCGAGCCATCGCAGCTCTACGCGCGCTGAAAAACTTGTTTCGAATGGGCCTCGGACACACTTTTTAATTCTCTTTTGCTTGGTTCTCTCGCTCTTCAGCAACCTTAACTCGTTCGCTATGGGACCTAGCGCCGGCGCTACCCCTCGTGCATTAATAGCCTTTCTATTTCTTGCTCTTTGTCCCACTTCAACTCTCGACACTGTTGATCACCGGTCGTCTGCGGGGCTTTTGTTTCAGCTGTTCGATCTTTGACCATCTGTGACGTGCAGATGCGGAGAAGGTGCAGCTCCTCAGCCGCCGCGCATTAATTGGCCAACCCCTCCTGTCTTGGTACCTCGGATCAACTCGGTCGCTCACTGGTTGCTGGTCACAGTGTCTTTTTTTTTCTTTTCTTTTTCCTGCCGTTGTGACCTGTTCATCTTGACTGCCTGGAATTCTTTTTTAATCCTGTTTTTGTTCCCTTTCTGTTTTCTGACTTTCCTTTCTTTCCTGCATCTGGCCAATCCGAATCGACATGTATCATAGACTTAGTATACCCAACAGAGCAATTTGTCTTTTATCTAGAACGTTGCATTTACTTAATTGCGTATGGTCCACACGTATGTCGTGCATAAACGAGATGGGAAACTGCGGGTGACACCCACCTGACCCGTTTCACTAATCAGGCAGCATCCCGCAGCAATCACTAGTCATGAAGCTAGCAGGGATCTCACGAAGGCGGGTGTCGCGGTAGTCGAATCGACGCATACTTCACCCATTCATTAATCAACACCCCAGATACGAGGAGGTCGAATATACACGTCAACTATGACTCACTGGTCGATAGACCAATCTAGAGATCTGCAGATTGCCCATGCACTTCTTCCATCATAAGATCTGAAGTAGCCTTGATCTGACGCGATCCTTATCGAGCCTCCCATTATGGTTTACAGCGCATGTGCCGGATCGAGTACGATGCATGGCCACATGGCCTTACATATATATTGTGCAATCCGTATATATATCGGGTATCATATGCCATATTGCACCCGACTCAACCCTAGTCTCAAATCACACCATACTATTCAACTCGACACGGAATCCAATATTCGCCAGACTAGGACATATCGACACCTTCCCTAGCGTGTGTATATTTAGCTCGTAATACTATCATTAAACGCTAAACGGCCGAGCGGAGAAGGAAGGAAGATACGAGCTTGGCCCCGTCCGAGCGCTTCCAGGTTTGGTACGTGCCCTGCATTTTCCTGTTACGAGTTGTATAGCAAAGTGGAGGTTGGCCTCACTATTGTTACTAGTTCCAGTACAGTACTAGCTGGACCAACAAATGCTCCATGCTCAGACTGCTTCTTCTAACCAATTACAACCAATCATCCATAGTCGAGCAGTGATTGTCATTAGACCATCCCCACAGGTGGGCGTGCTGGTATCCTGGTTCACCGTTGGCCCATCACTCGACCGATAAAGTTGCATGTCGTCGTCATTGAAGAAATCCCGGCAATCTGTGTCCAATGGATCTCGCAGATAGTGTTCCCAAGTGTCTGCCCCCGCCTCTACCCCTCAACCCGATACACTTTTGTGGTATATCCGTTGTTATCCGCGACGCCTTCCATGGATTTGTATCAAATTGACTTTTTTCCCTTCCTGTTTCACTTCAGGCGTTACAATCTAGGAAGTACCTAGGAGAAAGTAAGCTTCCGGCCGTAACGCTCGCCCTGACAATCTCCATATTTAATCAAACTAACGATTCCTAAAGTTTTGACTCAACGTGTCTCAGGCCCTTGGGGACGTCTGTGCTTCTGAAATTAACCCTGAAACCCTTCCAAGGCACCGGTTGACAAGTCCGTGGCCCACCTGGGCTTGTATAGCCACGTGCGCCGAATGAGGTCATCCCCTGGGTATCCATATCACTATAGTCGGATAACCGGAGATATGGAGTCTTGTAATGGGAATCTCGTGATGTATACGGCGGCCAAGGATCCTGTCTTGGGCAGGAGGAACCTTGCGGGAAATAAGTACACCACGGATGCGTTGGGCGCTATTGCCGGTGCTCAGCTGTGCCACGAGGCGGTGAATATGAATATTGAGGCTCTTAATGTTCTAGATGCCCTGCGTCGTACGACTGAGGCCCGTTGAGTTTGACGTCAATACTTTTTACCCGGCTGAGTGAGATTGATGCCCGGACCTTCGGGAGTAGCGGGTCGAGTAGGGAGTATGCTTTGGGGCAGTGAAAGATATACATGTCCGATTTGCCGTCTCGAGAATCCCTGGCCGAGAATCCCTGGCATTCCAATCCGGGAAGGTTGGCAATCTATCCAAAACGAGATACTGAGCTAATTATCAATGATTATGCCAGAATGGAACGGCGTTGCCTAGTTCGTAATTCAAGCCACATCTTGTTTTTTATTTTATTTAATAATGACTTCCAAGAAGCTTGGGGGTTAGCGTGACACTTTATTGTTTTTATTTATTTCTATTTTGACTTGGATGTTGAAGATGGCATGGCCCTGGTACGTGCTATATATACATCGTACTATGGTTAAACGAGAACGGACCATTTTGGAGAAGAGTGAGGGATTTTTATCTGATTTCATGAAGATCACATCTACAAACAATCCAAGCTCGATTGATGTGAATAAACATTGTATCTCGACATGTAGTTATAGAAGCCATGTATCAAGCCGAGGACAAACACACGTGATTCGCCGGCCCAAATCAATCGCGGATGTCCATTCTTCTCCAAGCGCAAAGCCACCATGGTACTACAATTGCATGTATGGGGCCCGGCCTTTTCGCTGCCCTCAATTGACGCACCATGCCTTGCTGCAATTGCATACTGTGCCGAGGTCCTCCCTAAAGACTCGTGGGAGCTGATCGCGAGCAGCGATCCATCCGTGTCCCCAACAGGTCAGTGACGTGACCGGAACAAAAAAAAAAAGCATCACCGGAATCAGACAGCTAACAAATGATTTACCAATAGGCGAGCTCCCCGCTCTCCAGAATGGCTCCGTCTGGGTGAGCCGGTTCCAGAACATCGTCGACTATCTCCGCCAATACTCGGAGGGAGCATGGAACCTGGATCAAAACCTAGACAAAGTGCAAAGGGCCGATAGCGTTGCGTACGCAACTCCCACCTCTACAACGGCGTGAGAAGCACAAAATACTAACAATAACCCCTCCCCTCAGCTTCTCCTCCTTCATCGAATCTCGCGGCCAATCCCTCATCGACCTGTACCTCTACGTAACCAGCCAGAACTACTACGCCAACACATCCCCAGCGTACGGCTCTCTCCTCCAATGGCCAAACCAATGGATCCTCCCACCTAAGCTGCACGGCGCCGCCAAAACCCGCACGGAACACCTCGGCCTCTCCTCACTAGACCTGCAAGCACTAGAAGACCAGCGCAAACGCGAGCACTCCGCCGCCGTAGCATCCGGCCAAATCCCCAGCAACCTGATCCAGCAGCCCCGCGACACAGTCTCCAAGCTCCTCGGCCGCACCGCGCAAACAAACCAGTTCCGCCTGGAAGCCCTAACAGCCGACTTCTTCGAGCCGCTCGAAGCCATGCTCGCCCGCACCAAGACCTGCCTGCTCCCCGCCGACGACAACAACAACCCCTCCTCGCTGGACTGTCTCGCGCTGGGCTACCTGTCGCTGGCGCTCGTCCCGAAGCTAGTCTTCCCCTGGCTGCGCGACGCAATGCGCATCAAGGCCCCGCTGCTGGCGGCGTACACGGAGCGCATGTGCAGTCGCTGTTTCGGCGACGCGCCTGTCGATGCTAAATATGCTCTCCAGCCCACGGGGACAGCTGCCCTGCCGTGGCGCGCACCGGAGCGCATCTCCGTCGCCGCTGTCGGGTCTACACTCCTCAACACGCTGGCTGATAACACGCCGTTCTTGCGCGAGGTGCGCCAGAACAGGCGGTTGAAGCAGGTCGTTGAGGCTGATTCGGGGTTTAGCGCGGTGGAGAAACAGGTCCTGTCTTCGTATGCCGATTCGAGTAACAAGGATATGTTGCTGTCTGTTGCGACTGCTGTTGCGGGGACGGCTGCTCTCGTTGGGTATATGGTTCATGTGGGCTTGCTTTCTTTCTCGACTGGGGGTGTCCAGGAAGAGGAGGATCTTGATGAAGATGCCGGTGTGCTACAGCTTGATCCTGGGTCGGCGGCTGACTTCCTGGGCGCGTTCTAAGCGCTGAAGTCTTTACGCTTGTTCTGTGGATGTTACGGGGTCGGTATTTTGTTTTATCATTTGGGTGAAAGCTAAGACTGTACGATAGCATTGCGTTCTATCCTTTGTATTGTGTTGGCCTTCGTACGGTTCCTCGTCACATCAGAACTGCAGGTCTTTGTTTTGGTCCTCTACTTGAAACGTCTCCTTTGTTCTGGAATTTATATCGAACTCAATTTATTCCAAAGAACGCAATATTCCTTTGGCGATGGAAAAAATCATCGAGGCCTCGAAAAAACCTCGGAAACATCCATTCTTGTCAAATATCAATGTGGTATCCTGGCATTCCTCGCAAGCCCTAACTCGGCACTTCACATCTCTCGTACATTCAACCATGGGAGCCCTAAATAGTGTCCTCGTAGTATTTTGACTTGTATTCAACTTGTTGTATTGAAGCTGGAAGGGCCTGGCATTTAGGTTTCATCGGTCGATATGCAAAACAAGGGGTAGCTTTCATGCAAGACATACAGATAGTGCCGAAGGATCATGCACATCAGCTTTAAGGTAGGTGAGACTTGAAATAGATAAGGTTTGTTTCAGGTTTATGACTGACGAATAGGCCTCGACACTAATGATCCGGCGAGACGAACAGACAGAATAGTGAATGGATGGTATATTTAGATATCCATAGGTATCGGGGCCCAATGGCCGTTAAGTAAATAAAGTATATATAGTAACCAGTTCTAGATGAAATGATAAAGGAAATGATATCAACTCTCAAATCAGATGCTTCAGATGGTATATGTACAGAGAAAAAGACGATGGAGGCAATCATGACCACAAAGATATGTATGAGAACGTCAACGGCAAAAAAAAGGTAGCCGTCGAAGAGCCGCTCGAAGGTGGAAGGATGTGTGGCCAGGATGGTTGCTGGGGCAAGCGACCTGCGCACGCACACACCGAATCAGGGGAAAGATACAAAGACACCTTCGGCGTTGAACCATTTGCGCAAGAAAGACGAAATCTCGGTAGAGAAGATAAGATTGTTAGAAATGGGAGGTGCTGAAAAAAAAATAAAAAATAAAAAGAGCATGGACGATTTAAGACGACCAGCCCAGGTTGACAACAAGACGGACGGGGCCAGCGGACTGGGCAATGGCCTTGTCGGTCTTGCCCTGGTCGGCGGCTGTGTAGGCACTGACAACGCTGGAGGCACCGCTGGAGATGGAGGAGCACTTCGCACCCTCGTGGTTGCAAATCTGCATACCAGCAATATCGAGATCAGCAAGCTCAGCGATGATGCAGGAGACATCCCAGCCGGAGTAACCGTCGTTCTGGGTGTTGCTCATGTCGAATTCACCCCAGGTGGAGGCGTACTCGCCGACGGTGTTGGTAGGGAGACCTTCGCCCTCGGCGGCACCCCAACCACCCTGGGAGTTGTCATCGATGGCGACGAAGGTGCTGTGGCCGGGCTCAACGGTGAAGGTCAGAGCGGAGTTGGGGCTCCAGAAACCGTTCAGACCGCCGGTGGGGCCGTACGAGTTCCACATGGTGACGGTCCAGGCATTGTCGTTGTCGTTCTCGAATCGGATAACGTGCTTGTACTCGCTGGCAGTGTCCTCCTCGACACGGATGATGTTGCTACCCCAAGGGCTGCCGACGTTGCCGATGTAGTCCCAGTCGAGGGTGCCAACGCGCTTGCTGGCAGTGGAGGCACCGAATCCGGTGGTGGAGTAAACGCCATCGGAGGGGTAGCTGGCCCAGTTGCTAGAGCTAGAAGAGCTGGAGGTGCTGGAGGAGCTGGAGGAAGAGCTGGAGGAGCTGGAGCTGGAGGAGCTGGAGGCAACGGCGGTGGCGCTGGCGGTCGAGGTGGCCTCGGCGGAGGAAATAGCAGTGGAAGTGGCAGCAGCGACAGACTCGGTGGCCTCAGCAGCCTCCGAGGAGGCAGTCGAGGTCTCGTCGCCGAACCAGTTGTTGATCCAGGAGACGAGTTTGCCGTCAATGGTAGCGAAGACCTCCTCGCCACGCTTATCAACATTGGCAACCTCGGCAGCAGCAGTGACAGCGGGCTGGACTGCGACGTTGACATCTCTGGGGTGGGCGTGACGGCGGTCGTGGCCATGAAGACGAGCGACAGCCGACCCAGCGGTCAGCGCCGTCATCAACAGCATGGAGTTGGAGAAATGCATCTTGGGAATTGAATAACTTGAAAATGAGTGACTTGAGCGAAAAGGACGCTCGACGAGAAGAAAATTCAATTCAAATGAATGTGTGTGAGAGTGAAGAGAGAAGAAGAGAACAAAGTGGACTAGGGGGACTAGAGACTATTAGTACAATACCAAGTTACACAATAACGGGTCAGGCTGGGACCTGAACCCAAACCCGAAAAGGCTCCAGAATATCAGGGGTACGCCATTTATTATTGGCTGGTTCCTGGCGGTTCCTGGCCGTGCGTTGTTTTGGGTGATTTGATTGGTGGGCTGCCCAGGGCCCAGACTCTGTTTCCTTGGTACTGGGTACTTCTCTATACTATGCCTCTCATCGCGGCTGTGCAGGTATTCGTGACTTGGGATAGGGGGATTTCTCCTATTCAGTATGTTGTATTATTATTTCTATATAATTCGCATACGGAGTACTCCGTACCCCGTATGTTCTATTATTATGCGTCCTATTATTGGGATTGATAGTGTTCTATGTTGTATAGTTGCCTAATGCCAAACACGTGCGTGATCGGAATGCTGGATAGTCATCTCGATACACTGCACCAGAGCCCAACATTGATACTTCTATAAGCAATATGACCAAGGTTTCTGTATAACATACGTGTACATAAAAACTTACGCATGTACTTTAATATCCCCGTCGTCCGGAAATCTCCACATAAACCAATCGGCGAAGGGCACAGCAAGGATCTAAACTGTGTTACGAATCTCAAGGCAATCTTAATGGAGACAACTCATCACCGCATCGTGTACAAATACGTGGACAATGGGCAACTAACATCTATGTCCCTACCCAACCCATGCCTATCTACTCCTTAGTTCTTCCATTACAATTCTTGTTGCAATTAATGAGGATTGTCCTCGCCCTGCCCATCGGACCCAATGATATGCGCATAAAAAAGTCAATCTCTGCCGTTGATCTGCGGCCAGACCCCCTACACGGCCGATGGATATTTTCTGTAAGGCACACACTTACAACATATTTCATATATTCACCGGTAGCGTCTTAGCCCTTCCCCACCCACATGACGAGTCTCCTGATTGTCTCCATAATGGCACGCAGAAACTGGCCCCTCGGGGATCCAGACCTTCCAACTCGGCAAACTGGGGCTGGCCGTGAAGCGGTTTCATCTGTTTAGACTCATTGAAACTTTAAGCGCGCTTGGCTTGCCACGGCTCCATAGGTGTACGGAGGAAGTAGTGCATCGTACCTATATCGTGTATTTTTGAGTCCGTATTTACGGTACACCAAGGGCATTTTGTTGCCACAGGCGTTTCCTGAAACATTAGGGCTAATTCGTGCAGGAGCCAGTCCCTGGCAGACTCCTCACTTAATGCAGGTACCCACGACCCTTGAATACATATGTACACACTTGGACTCTAAATTTCCTCACTCTTAAAATCCTTGTTGTAGGAAACCGTACGAAGTAGAAATCTCGGGGTAAATAAACAAAACCAAGGTCGACCCGGGAGGATCCTCGGTTCGGTCGATCTGCAATTTGTCCTATTGGTTATAGGAAATTAAATCTACCTGTCAAATTACCCTAACCACAAAAGAAAGCCACATATAAAATTTAGTAGATTTAATTAGATGATAATTCGAGAAACGCTTCAAAGAATCAGCTACTTCCTACTAATGAATGTGGCTGAATGCGAAAATAGAGTCATACGACTGGTGGAGACGGTACTACATAAGTCCAGGCCGATACTCTTAAGGGGAAGTTGCCAATGTTCAATGTGCACAATATCTCACTCCGGTACCGGGTCTGGTAGGCGGTGGTCTTCCGTTCATTCATCTCCGATATCCACGCCACCCTCAAACGCCACACCACCAGCGGCCGCATCCAACTCGAGGCTATCATCCAGCCCGCATACCCTGAATAACATCCGAGGAGTCAACTCCTTGTCGAGACCAGGCAAGCCATCACTCTTCAATTTCTCCAGTGCCTCCCGCATAGCCACAAGAGCCGGGCCCAAAGTCGCAAGCGGGAAGATGATAATACGGAAACCAATCTCCTTGGCCTCCTTGGCAGAAATCGAAGGCGTGGACCCATGTTCCACCATATTCAACAGCAAAGGCCACGGCGCCAGGTCAGCTACAACCTGACGAGCCATTTCCCGCGAAGAGATGCCCTCTAAGAACCCGACGTCCGCGCCCGCATCCCTCGCCGCCCGCAGCCGCGCCAAGCTCTCTTCATAGCCGTGCTGCTGCAGCGAGTCCGTCCGCGCAATGATCACGATATCGCTACCTATGCGCTCGCGCGCTTGCACAGCCGCCCGGATGCGACTGATATAGGTCTTCGTGTCGACGATCTGCTTGCCGGAGAGGTGCCCGCACCGCTTCGTCTGTACCTGGTCTTCGATATGGAAGGCCGCCACGCCGGACCGTGCGTATTGTTCTGTCGTGCGGGCTACCATGATCGGCCCGCCGTAGCCGGTGTCGGCGTCGGCGATCAGCGGTGTTCGCGGTGAGAGATTGGCGAGCATCTCCGCGTTCGCCCGCATGTCGTTCAGCGTGCAGATTCCGAGGTCTGCTTGGCCATGTACTGAGGCTGCTGTTCCGGCACCTGTCTGGTTGGTGTCAGCTCGGGGCTTGGATGAGGATGCCTTGGTCATCTTGCATTGCATACCATGTATAGTGCGTCGAAGCCTGCTGCCAGTGCTAGTCGTGCGGACATTCCGTCATATACTCCTGGGGCTGTGATGAATACTTGGGGATCTTGCAGTGATCGCCGCAGGCTGGTTGCTGCCGATGGAAGAGCCATGATTGTTGTCGTATACTAAGAAACAGAACCAGTAGTGATGTAGTGGCTTGCCGGCTAATCCGATATCCGTATAGTTATTGTCTAAGTGAAGACTCGGGGCTGATATATGTTCACCTCAGGAACGAGCCGTGCAAATAGCTTTCTCTCCGGCGGTAGGACATGTGATACCAGCCTTGGACCATCACTTCTCCACCAGTGAGTTCTTTCGGGCAATTACAATCCCTGGATGATGTGCACTCTCCACTTATCTAGAGCCACGCGGCCGATATCGCCCCGAAGTGCCATATCCTTTACATCAACATCCTAAACACAAGGGTAGCTTAGATACCTATGTAGACTTATTGATTCAGCGAAGATCGTCGGTGTAGTTGTGATTACCAGATATCGATTGTTGCGGTATTGTGAATTAACCTTGGAATATACCAAGGATCGCCTGATATCTCCTAATGCCACAATCATCACAGGAGGAACTCAAACGGAGCAACGTTGAATACGCAGACCTAGGGCTACAATGAGCTCCAGCAATTCAAGCGGGGCACTACCGGGACAGTACAGAATAGTTTTCACTATAGGCAAAGTATAATTTATAGTTGTGATGTAGGCAATTGATGTCAATTGAGAAGCTCTTCTATCTTCCGTTTCAATTGAAAACTGCCTAGGTGCTTTGCTCCTTCCTGTTTGTCTGTTCCTTCCTTTCATAGACTAAACATGGCGATCTTTGGCCACCCCGCAGATTCGCTTAGTCATGAACTTCCTGCGGTTTCATCTCGAATTCCATTTGGCCCATCTAAAATGAACTTAGCGCCAATCCTTTGATCCTCTGTCGTTTCCCAAATACTCCCTCGATGGCTCGCTCCTCCGTCGTTCAAGAATATGCACCGCCCGCCCCGACCCTCACCGTCGACTACAAGTCCCTCGCCGAGCTTCAAAACCTACAAATAGCTCGTCCACAAGGTTACCGGGTATCATGGCATGCCAATCCAGCCGTCGAGCCTTACCACTTCGGCCAGTCACATCCAATGAAGCCATGGCGCCTCACACTTACTAAACAGCTCGTCATGGCATACGGCATGCACCACGCCATGGATCTGTATCTTGCGCGCGCAGCGACCTACGAGGAAATGGCCGACTTCCACGAGAGAGACTACCTCGACTTCCTCCAACAGATCATTCCCGGCGACATGGACAACCCCGATCAGGCAGATAACGTGGTGCGCTTCAATTTCGGCGACGACTGCCCCATCTTCGACGGACTGTACAGCTACAGCTCGCTATACGCCGGCGGCACTGTCGACGCCGCGCGCAAGCTCTGCAACAATCAATCCGACATTGCAATCAACTGGTCCGGTGGCCTCCACCACGCCAAAAAGGCCGAAGCCAGCGGCTTCTGCTACGTCAACGATATTGTCCTCGGCACACTCCAGCTCCTCCGCCACCACCCGCGCGTCATGTACATCGACATCGACGTACACCATGGTGACGGCGTTGAGCAGGCCTTCTGGTCAACCGACCGCGTGCTCACAGTCTCCTTTCACAAATACGACAAAGACAACTTCTTCCCGGGCACCGGTGCACGCGAAGACACAGGCCCCGCACACCCACTCAACCCAGGCGCCCACCACGCCATCAACGTCCCGCTCAACGACGGCATCGATGACGAGTCCTACATAGCACTATTCAAAGAGGTAATCGGTGCATGTATGAAAACCTACCAACCAGGCGCAATCGTCCTACAATGCGGCGCCGACAGTCTGGGCTGCGACCGACTAGGCTGCTTCAACCTGAACGTGCGCGCGCACGGCGCCTGTGTCGCATACGCCAAGACCTTCAAGCTGCCCATGATGGTCGTTGGCGGCGGTGGCTACACCCCGCGCAACGTCTCGCGTGCGTGGGCGCACGAGACCTCGATTTTGCTCGAGGCAGAAAACATGATCGACCCCGTGATCCCGGAATCTGTCGCCTTCCGTAACCACTTCGGCCCTGATTTCTCACTCTTCCCGCCCCTGTCGGAGATGCGAAAGCTTGATAATAAGAATCCTCGCGCGTACCTGGAGGGCCTTGTTGAGGCCGTCCATGAGCAGCTGAGGTATATCAAGGGCGCGCCTAGTGTCCAGATGAGCTTTATACCCCCGGACATATTGGGTTTGCGTGAGGATACCGAGAAGGAGATTGAGGAGGAGACGCTTCGGGTTGAGGAGGAGATGGAGGAATATGAGGGCGGTGGGTCGATGTCTGCTGCATCGGCGGCGGCGGCTGGTTCTGGCTTGGCTTATACTGGCTCTGCTGGTGCTATCCCGCGGCCTAATCGGCGGCGGGATCTGGAGCGTGGAGCTGGATCCAGGGGGGAACTGTATTCATGAGCTTTCCCAGTGCGGCTTTATGACGGCAAGTCCTCCTAGGACAAAAGAATGGTTTGACGCGGCGTTTTGTATGTATTCGGATAACGGAGGGGAGTTTCGGTTGTCTTTGTATGGTAATATTGGCATGGGTGGTTGCCATCTATTGTGATATCCCTCTCTTCTAGGAGAGCTTTGTATAGTAACGGACAGAGAAGACGCAAATTTAATCGATCAGTCAATACTACGGACTTGAGCAAATGGGGAGATTTATCAGAGATTGAAGATTCCAGGTCCTAAGTGTATAAAATCCTTTCAGATTCCCGTGACTCTTGTTTGTTCTATTGTTTTATGTCTCCTTAACGCTGCATTAAAACCTTGCTACGTATCTCTTCCATATCCCTTAGAGATGTATGTGCCCAGGTTCAGTTGAGATATAATTTTGAAAATTTTTGAATTTTTAAATAAAATCAGATCGGGTATCCAGCAATAGGAGCGGCATGATGACCGAGAAAAACGCTGTGTTGAAACATCAGAGGGGCAGAGAGGGCTATCACAATGGGTCGTGCCGTCGCCTCGAGTTGTGGTTGTGCTGGGGATTTCTGCGCAGGTTGACTACGTCATGGCAGAATGAGAGGAAGATAGGAAGAGAGGAAGAGAGGGAGTGTGACAATACTCCGGGATCATTCAGATGTGAGAGTGAGAAAAAAAGGCGACCTTCGCAACCGACCGAGTTGGATTGGGTCGGTGATAGCATGGATTGGGGGCCCGGGGGTTGGGAGTCGGACGCAATGGGGCTTTGGGGGTTGACTTAGGAGGTTTCCTGGGCGTCTACAAACTGCTCCTCTTCTGATGTTTGACTATCTTTCCGTTCCACGATGCTCTGGTGGACAGTTGTTTTCGTCTCGGAGTCTGCGGGTGCGGCATTAGCTGGTTGTGGAGGGATATGCCTGATATCCTAGTTCGCGGGAGCGATAGGGTGGGGATGATGCGGCGGTATTTGAAATTGGGATGACTCCTTCTGACCTTGGACGATGGGAACGATGGATAGTATCTGCTCGGTGGCGACCTGGGGATTTTGCATGTCGCTGGGACTGTCAGTTATTGTGTTAACCGCTGGAGCATTCGTGCTTACATTTGAGCATTGATTATCCAGTCGAGGTCTTCTTCGCCTTCATCCGGGCCGCCAGGGCCGCCTTGGACGGCACGGAAAAGGCGAGGGTGCCAGTCGATTCCCTCGTCGGCGCGCTTCGCAGTCTCGTCTCGTTGGCGGTCTTCGATCTTGGTTTTTTCGTCCGTTGCAAGTATATGGTTCCGGGCCACAATCGCTTCAACCGTATTGTGCCATAGCCGTTGCGATTCCCGGTCTCCTTGCTGGTCTATGGGGCGGACCAACGGAGGCGAATGCTTCGCGTGCCTCGCGTCGAACAAAACGTCTTGTTTGTGGGTCTGCTCTGGGTCAGCGTTGAATCGGGAAGAAACCTCGGAAGGCGGAGCGTACATGGACATCTTTCAGATACATCTCCCCATTCCACAATCCGGAGAGTTCATATAACACCTCCCCGGTCTTTTCATTCTTGATAGTTCCCCCAATTGCGTTATAAGTGCCGGAGAAATATCCCTTGGTCTTGAACTCGATATCGGCCACGAGGTGGTTCTCGGGACAACGCACGTAGCTGTGATCGCCAAGCTCATACTTCATTTTTCCGAATAGAATGCCGCGCGCATACATATTGGGTTGGGTTAGAATACTGGTTTTGGTTAGTGCCTGAAAGTCCGTAGAAAGCGGCGCAACATACTATCGTTCACCCTTTTCTTTATCCCCGTGGCTCATCAGGCGCAGAATGGCAATACCTTCCATAATACTGGCCGCGGAGTTGCCCAAAAACTTGCTGCGGGGCTTGAGTGTTCCATCAATGCGAATCTTATGGTCCGGCGCTGCGAAGAAATAGCTCGACTTTGGCGGGTGGTGGGAGGTCTGTTCGGAGATGTAGTAGGCGCGGGTTCCGTCGGGATAGTCCCAGTAGCAGGTAAAAGTCTCTCCAAGAATGGGATTGAGCGGCTTCTTCACTCCTCTATGTGGGTATTAGTATGTGTTCCTAGACAGACAGCTAGCGGGCGACATACTGTGGTTTGATGTGCCATCCACTCAGGTAAAATTTGACCACGGAGACAAAGCGCTCGACCGGGTCCTCGATCTCTGACATCGGGAGGAGCGTTTCAGGGTGCGCCATGAAGCTAGTAAGACCGTTGTGTTAATCGATATATCTAAATATTAGGTAGCTCCAAGCTCCCTGCTTGGAGGGGTGTGAACGCACTTGGTGATCCGCTCTAGCATAGACCGAGGCTCGAGGATGAATGTCGGCAAGACGACCCGACTCAGGTCGGCGCCAGGCCGTAGCTGAGAAATGATATGTGAAAGAACTGCCCAGGCATATCAAGTCAGTTGTGTGTCTGGGGGGTATCGAGGGTTTGGACGCACCATTTCCCTGCTCTGGCTCAACCACCTCATCCTCCCCACTTGCCGGAGAATCTTCCATAGATGATCTGCCTAGATTGGCGTTAGTTGCCATGTTGATTGCCATGTTGAAATGCTTTGAATGTATTGGATGTATGACAAAGGGATAAGAAGGGTCAAACTCACTGGCCTGGGAGGTACGGCGGAGATGCGGGACAGGCATGGCTGCGTTCGGAAGTGAATTATACGAAAAGCCCTTTAAGCTTTCAAACATTTATGAAAATATAAAGAAGAACCAGAAAACCAAAACACAAAAAGAGAACGTCTGAAACCCAAGACAGCTGACTTGGGGCGGAAATTTCGGGAACGGGCTTTTTTTACTATGGAGAAGTGGAAAAAGGGCAAAAAAACGGATTTGCGTAGTTCAAAGGGAAAAAATTGAAAAAGACACTAAGAACGACACTAAAAATTACACAACAAGATATCCAAAAAGATATGCGAAATGCAAATTACACATGCAAATGCTCAGGGCTAGTGACGTATTTCTCTGACCTCTCCTTCAAGATGAATACACTCCTTTACATCTCATTCCCCAAGATCGTCAGTGAGGGGCATCTGGCTTGGCGGGGACTACAGGATGTACCCGTTCCTTGGGCTGCATATGTATCTTATGCTTGGTACCTAAGTTATACCCAAGGAAAGGAGAATCTTTCTTTTCTCTCCCTCTTCCCTCTATCCTCCCTCTCTTCTCTCTCTTCTCTAACCCACAGACACAGACATCATAGCCGTTCAATCAGAGGTACATCTCCGCGGGTGATCTCCCTGACAAATGCCATATCGGGACGATGGAGCATGACGTGGAAGTGTTCAATCCCGGGGACCGACTTGAGTGACTTCCAGTTCTTGAACCAGACCACCTATGTTGTCAGCCTTTCATCATCTTCATGCCGACTAAGCCCCCATACCTGTTCGGGTGGTACCCGAGAGCAAAATGTGTCCTGCACATAGCTCTCTATGGCCGCTCGTGTGCTTGCCATTAGGTCATCTGTGGTTGGGTCATCTTCCAGCTCGAACTTGGTCCACACTACCAAGTGGATGATATCCTTGGCAACACCATATGGCCAGTCATTGTATATGATTCGGATATCCTCTATACAGACAATTAGTATTTCACGCGTTCTAGACCCGGTGACCTGCGCCATACCCTCGTATTCGAAAGGGCCACCTCTAGGCTTGATCTCTTCCCAATTATCCCCCCAGCCCAGCCTTTCCTTGACCACAAATCTCATCACGGATGTATACTCCGCTTTGATATGCGCCATGTATTCCAGATACTTGCGCAGCTCGCTTGGGACCCGCTGGAACCGGTCGATCCGGTTGGTTCCTATGCAAGTTGTAGTTAGTTAAGTATATCACTAATCACCCAACCAGCAGCTGTACCTATGATCTCCTTCACTTCCTCCCAGTCCTGTCGGGTATACCGGCAATCAGGGATTGAGAGGCATTTGATATTCTTCGGAGATTGGTCACGTAGAAAACTAGGACACTCGGCAGTCCATTGCGACCGAGGTAAATTGACGAGCCAATATGGGAGACTTCCAGAGGCCTGGCTGTGATCGTGGAAGTGTAGGGCTGCCTCATCGGTGTCGGTCGATTTCTCGTCGAGGGTACCGATTGGGGCGGGCATTGATGGCCGCCTGGAGTGCAGCATTGCGCGCAGATTGAGTTTTGAACTGATCTAGTTCGGCCTGTAGTGAAATATGATATTCTATGTTGTATGCTGAGTGGTGAATCCCCCCTTGACACGACGTCACTCTGCAGTAGTGCGGAAAGGGGGTATGAAGTCAAGACGTTTCTGGCAGTTGCTTGTCGATCATGTACCCACCGGCGATCTTATTGTACTGACTGATTACGGACATTGGAATTGTTTCAAGTATACATATCGGTGGTTTGTGGTCTTCAATTTAACCACAGACTGTGGAAATCAAGAATTGAGAATACCGCCACACAGGGTAAAGTAACACATTCACGTGAAAATACAGTATCTATCTATAGCACCTTCATAATATCTACACAATAGATATCTAAGGCCGGTAGCATAGAACTTGAATCCATATTAGACACAAGACACGGAAAAATAAACACTTGGAAGGGAAAACTGCGTGGTAAAAGCAAGATGAGAAATAAGACATATCAACTCTTCCCTCCTAGCTCCTTGATGATAGGGTCGTCCATAGAGATAATAGACACCCCCGCAGTCTCAAGTTCTTCCTTAACAGAATCCCAAGCAGGAGGCACGACACATCTTGTTCCCTCCTCGACAACCCAGCTTTTGAATCCAACCTTCGCAGCATCAAGAGCTGTAGCCTTGACACAATAATCCCCAGCCAAGCCCACAACAAATACATCTGTAACGCCTTGAGCCCTGAGAGCCGCGGTAACATCTAGACTGACCGAATGTGCGTTGGTTCCATGGTCACAGTTTCCGAAAGCATCAGCAAACACAGAGTACATCTCGACTTCCGGGCGCATGCCTTTGCGAACAACTAGATGTTCGCTAGAGGTGTCAATCTCTGGGATAATTTCTGCGCCGGGGGTACCAGCCACGCAGTGAACTGGCCAGAGTTGCTGTGGTTTTGTTTCTGATTCCTTTCCTCGAGCGGGATTCTTCATTGTGACGAATGAAGAAAAGGGCTGATTGTCAGGCCCTGGGTGATTACTGGCAAATGAGATATGGTCCTTTGGATGGTAGTCTTTGGTCATGATGCGCACGACAAATCCCGGCTTTGCAAGTAGAGTGTTGATTATCGAGGCAATGCTGCGGCCTCCTGTCACGGCGAGTGACCCATGCTACTGTTGATTAGTATGTGTGACCTAGTAGTGTACTTATCCAACTCACTGGAGGGCAGAAATCCTCTTGCATGTCCACCACAATCAGGGCTGGTTTGATAGTACTATTTGCTGCCATTTGAGTCTCCTTTTTGATAGATGTGGGGTAGAGATCTGTTGATAGAGGTTATGGACAGGAATATAGAGGAATTCAAAAGCTTTGAGAAGTTAAATATTGATGGATACCCTAAGAGTAAACAAAAGTGAAAAGTGTGACAGAGGCCTTATAAGATAGAGATATCTGTAAAAGGACGATGTTTACAACAGATTCAAGATACCTCAATGATATTTGTCCGGCAGAATATTACCCCGTTAGCTCTTCTATCCAGGCGGAATAACAGGCGGTAACTACATGACTAATCCAGGGCACTAACAAAACGAAGCTTTTCAACCTTCACCAAAATTGCTCTTCTCTCCTCTCCCAGGGCTACGGCCCCATAATCATTTGAACTGGATAATGAGTGATAACTACAAGGTATGTGTGCTGTGTCACCTTCTCCTTCCCTCAACCTGATGAATATATTATTGGAGCTGTCTGAGCTTTTGCTATGCGGATAAATTCATATACGCTTTTTTTCTGAACTTGTGTTATCACATTTCATGTCACAAAAAAACAATCTCAAATCAGCTGCTAACGCGTCTGATAGTCAACAGAATATTGTAATCTCAAAAAACCCCCATGATCATCGACTTCCAAAATCCCTCTAGAAACAACAACCCCTTAGTCTCTCTCTCTCTATTATCATCTCCATAGTCTTCCATCAAAATGGCATATGATCCCCGCCGAACAAACTCGGGGACTTCAACTCCCCAACCTCCTCCTCCCCCTCCACCACCAGAGACATCCACACAAACCGACATGGCCTCAGCAGCCCAAGCCCTAGAAACAGCCAACCCGGCTGGCGCAGCAACAGACTCGTACAAGCTCAAGTTCTGCACAGTCTGCGCCTCAAACAACAACCGCTCAATGGAAGCCCATCTCCAGCTCTCCGGTGCCCCAACAGCCTTCCCCGTGATATCCTTCGGCACAGGCTCCCTCGTCCGTCTCCCCGGCCCATCAATCACCCAACCAAACGTGTACAGCTTCAACACGACCTCCTACAACCAGATGTACGAAGAGTTGTGCAGCAAAGACGAGCGTCTGTACCGCGGCAACGGCATCCTGAACATGCTCGACCGCAACCGCCAGCTGAAGTGGGGGCCCGAGCGGTTCCAGGACTGGGTCCCTGGCGTCCCGCGCATCGACAACCTCTCCAAGGGCGACAAGGGTGCGATCGGAACGGAGGGTGGAGTCGTCGATGTCATCATCACCTGTGAAGAGCGCTGTTGGGATGCTGTTGTTGACGATTTGATGAATAAGGGCAACACGCTCAATTACCCCGTTCATGTCTTCAATGTCGATATCAAGGATAACCACGAGGAGGCCTTGACTGGTGGAAAGGCGATTCTTGATCTGGCCAATCATCTGAATGAGGCTGCTGTTGCTGAGCATCTTGTTCATGGCTCTGAGGGCTGGGCAAACGGGACTGGCCCTGCCCGCCAGAGCTTTGACGAGAAGGTCCCTGAGATATTGGCGGATTGGCAAGAACGATATCCCAATTTACCGGCATTGTGGACTTTGGCTTGGCTTTGATTCCCCGCCTATGTTGTGATCTTGCATGGGTATCTATTTACCTACAGCCATACTAAGAGAATGGTTTAATACCAACGATTTACAGGTTCCATATAGCGAGTGTGGTCCAGTATCGTATTATTTCATGCATGTTATACAACTAGTTATACAACCAGAAAGGGGTATCGCGCAAGAAGGAACAACAACGAAAGCAAAACCACTTAAAGACTCGGACTATCCTCCTTGGGACCCTTGTCATCTTTGATCCATTCATCCTCATCCATATCCTCCTTAGAAACATTTTCGTCTTTGATCTCCTCCTTAGTGTTTTGATCCGCAGAAAGTAGTTTCTCTCTTCTCTCTCGATACCACTGATCGAGACAAGCTCGCCGCTGCGCCTGGGTCATGCCCTCAACAACGAGCGCAAACTCCGTAGCGTCAGCGTACCCAAACCGCCGCGCCATACTACAAAACTGGCGACGTATGACATCCCCCGGAGGATGATACTTGAATCGCACAGGTTGCTCCGTTGGCTGAGAGTAAGGCTGCGAGGACATGAAGACCTGACGGTCACCTGTCGTGTCATTTGGAGCAAGTTCCGCACGACGACTGAGATCTTCCTCAACACGCGAGGAACCGATCACTTCGTTATTGAGATGGGTATATTCCACGCCTGCGCTTGCCAGAATCGCTTGAACGGGGTCGTGCTTATGCGGTGTTGCCATTGGAAGACCGGCGGGAGGCTTGTGGTCTTTTTCTTCGTCCTCGCCGCAGATCATCGCCGCGATTTGGCTCATTGCTTCGTCTTCGGATTTCATTGGTCGGTCGGTGTAGTCGTGGCCTTCTTCTTCAGCTTTGAGGTCTATGTCCACGACCTGTACCCCCGCACGGCTTTCGGCGACATTTGTTCTGTTGACGATATCGCGCAGAACGATGTTTGTGTTCTGATATCCGAAGAAATTCTTCAGTCCAAATATTTCACCCTTTTGGTCTTTCTTCTCTTGGACGCCTTTGAAGTACCGACGCTCGGAGCTTGCATTGTATCCAATGTTTGCCTGTTGCTGCTTGTAGATCTGTCGAGCGTAGACGATTTCTTCAATTGTACCGGCAGATATGAGCCGGAAGACTTCCACATCGCGAAGTTGTCCTATGCGGTAGGCCCGATCCTGGGCCTGCAAGTCGTAGGATGGGTTCCAGTTTGGATCAACGACTACCACCTTGTTTGCCGAGGTGATGTTCAACCCAACACCACCGGCCTTGGTTGATATTAGGAAAACAAACTGTCGCGAGTCGGCATTGAACTCGTCTACAGCCTTTGAACGGTCAGGTAAACTCATAGATCCATCCAGGTAGCTGACGTTGTAGCTAGTGTGATGAAACAACATTTGCAACATCTTGAGAAGACGCACGCTATGCGAGAAGATGAGGACTTTGTCCCCATTCGAATGCCACCACTTAAGTAACTTCCGTAGAACCTTCCACTTGCCGCAAAACTCAGGGTTCGCGTAATTGACGATCGAGTCGCGCGAGCGGTAAAGGTCTTCCCATTGTTCAGGCAGCGCAAGTTCCAGATAATCTCTATCTTTTTCCTGCTTCTCCTTCGGGTCTGCTCCTTGTGGGATTAGAATTGCCAGATGATTACTGAGCTTTTGAAGCACATTAATAGCAGGGAACACATAGGATTGCCAGGTTGGAGGGTCCCTATCGGGGATAAAGCGGCGACAACACCAGCCGGCCTTCTTGCCTGACCTACAATCGCATGGTTCTGTAGATGTCTTGATATAATCGACAATGTCACTGTCAAGGAAATTCTCGTAGGCCTCGGCTTGTGTCTCAGTCAGAGGACAGAAGACAACCCGATCGACCTTTTTGGGCAGCTGATCCGCGATCAAGGACTTCATCCTCCTGATGAAAAATTGTGGAAGTAAATTCTCAACCAGCTTCTTGGCTGTTCTTCGTGCTCGGCTGAGCTCGCTCAGAGTGGCGTCGTGCGATTGTCCGATCTTCAGTGGCTCCGAAATTTGTGCCTTCCAGGTGCTTACCGGGCCCAGAACACCAGGGTTAGTCCAGTTGAGAAGGGTCCATAATTCTTCATATTTGTTCTGGATAGCCGTGCCGGTGAGGCCTATCCGACATAACGCATTGATCTCGTTCATAGACTGTGTGGTCCCCGACTTGCGCTCCTTAATCTTGTGGCACTCATCTGCGATGACGCAGTCCCATTCAATCATATTGACGGCGTTTTTGTTGTTCATATAAGTGGTATATGTTGTAATCAGGACTTCCACCCTCCCTGACTTCGCCGCATCGAGAGCAAGGTCCTTGTTATCCCCGTGGTAGCTTTCAACATGCCACCACCCCCAGCACGCAAACTCAGCCTTCCAGTTGGCGATAAGGCTTCCCGGGCACACGATGAGTGTACGTGGATACCAAGCGCTGTCGTCCGATCTGCGTATCTTTCGCATGCGCTTTGCGTCCCGTTCGTCTCCTGTTTTTCCATAGGCAGCGGTTAAGAAAGCAATGACCTGAATGGTTTTTCCAAGACCCATGTCGTCTCCTAAGACGCCACCCTTTTGGTATACAAACAGCTCGTGAAGAAAGGCAACTCCTTCCACTTGATACTGCCGCAACCACTGGGCGATCGGGGCGGGTATAATACCCATCGAATAGGGAAGTTGGATGTCCTTGTACTCCTGCTTTCGGGTATTATCCGGAAAGACAGGTCGTTCTTGCAGTTCTTCAAGCCGTTCATCATCCGAGAAGTCCACATCCTCATAGGTGGGTGGTAGCTTCAGTCCATGATCTTTCAGATGTTCGAGCTTCTGGTCGAACTGGCTGCGGCGGCTTTTGAGGTATCCAGGTAATGTATTCTCCATTAGGTCATCATCTGAAGATACCTCGCCCCATTGTTTCAACGGCCGCTTTGGCCGAGGCGTTGGCCGCTCTTGTTTTATTCGACCAACGATTGCATCTCTCCTGGGCGCCTTGGCTTTGCGAGTTGCTGCAGCATCTTGTTTGCGCTTGAGGGATTTGCGTTCCTTGAACTTCTTGTACGCTAGCTCGCCATCGTTGGTATTATCCTCATCGCTGTCCACGGGCTGGATCTTTACAGCACTTGATGACTCGGAAAGATGAGTGCGCGACGATTCAGGTTTAACCGGTGTATCAGCCCCGTGTTTCAGACCGGAAAATCTGTCTTGAGAGAATGTGAGCTGTCTGTCAAACGCGTCGAAGAGGTGTCATACCCCTAGCGGTCGGAGTTGCATAGTGCGTCACCTCCAAGTCGTCATCATCTGAATCAATGATGATGGCCTCGTCAGTATCCTCGTTATTAGCCATGTTCTCTGCATTTCTGAAAATACGACTCAAATAGTGACAGAGCGTAGGCCGAAGGGAGTACCAGACTGTCGCGACAAAGCGTCAAGTACGGCACGCGATAACGGCCACGTAGTGAATTTGAAACTGTTCGCCCAAGAAAGCTTCAATTGAGTATCCTTCAATATAGAGCGTGGTAAACTGCTTTTTATTCTATCTCAAAAAGAATTGGGTCTCTGTTGATATCTCCTAAATGCTCAAAGAAGTGGTTGAAATGGTTCTTTCTGGATTTATAGAGTTGGTCGACATGGTCACGTGCAAGAGAACCAGAGAAAAAGATGCTCTCATTGGTTTGGCATTCGATTCTTTGCATATGCGACAAAGTCAACGTAAGTCGAAGACAATATTCTACGTCTGTCATTGCTCGATAAAGGAACGCCCTACTGACCTAAGCCCACAGAAAACACAAAATAAAGCTTGACTTCCCGCTTGACGTACCCTCTTTTCGCTCAAGACAACTCTCGTTCTTATCAGAAAGCCGCAAAGATGCCGCTAGACACCTCGACGACATACCCTCTGACGCGGCTTCGTCTTGATGGCCGTCGCTGGAATGAACTCCGCCTGCTCCAAGCTCAGATCTCAACCAACCCCGCCAGCTCGGGCTCCTCATACTTGTCCATGGGCAACACATCAATCATGTGCTCTGTCCACGGCCCTGCCGAGGGTCGCCGAGGAGATAGTGGTGCTGCAGGAAGTGGCCATGCAGTTGTGGAGGTGGATGTCAACGTCGCTGGGTTTGCCGGCGTAGATCGCAAGCGGAGAGCCGGTGGAAGTGATAGGTATGCACCCTCTTACGCTTCCCCATTGCACCTTCCTGCTATAGGGAAATAGTCACAGTAGCACCAGACTAGATACAACCAATGCTAATCTCCTGGGGACTACAGACAATCAACGCGAATCGGTACAATCATCCGCTCAACCTTCCAGTCTCACCTCCACACCTACCTCTATCCCCACAGCACAATCAGCATTCATATCTCCGTTCTATCTGCCGATGGATCACTGCTCGCCGCGGCGATCAATGCCTGTACCCTAGCGCTCGTGGACGCCGGAATCCCTATGCCAGGACTACTCTGTGGCTGTACTGCAGGAATGAGTGGTAGCGCCTCTACACCGCGTGACCCGCGACACGACGAGCTTGACCCACTGCTGGACCTATCTCTTCCAGAAGAACAGGAACTGCCTTCGCTCACTGTTGCGACGACGACAGCGGTGCCCGTTGGCGAGAACAATATGGATGACGATGAAGAGGCAATGAAGGTGTGTGTGCTTACTATGGAGTCTAAGGTGCATGCTACGTACCTTGAGACAATGTTGGCGGTCGGGATCGATGGGTGCAGTCAGATCCGCGAGTTGTTGGAAGGTGTCATCAAAGGATCTCGGGGGTGACGCAAAAAAAAAAGAAAAATCAAAAAACAAACAAAATCAAAAAGGAGATTCAAACGGGAGAATAGTTCAAGTTGATACCCTCTGTCTTACGTTTAATGTTACCAGTTACAGCCCAAATCCGAGAATTTGCTCAAACCACCTCGCCGCTAAGTTTTTAGGGCCAAATCTATAAACCTGCTCATATTGCTCCCATTAGGGCAGAGTGACGGTGAAGTGCTCCCCTCTTCTATCTATCTCCTATTCTCTCTTCTATTCTACTCCTGCATTTATTTTGTACTGCTTCCCTTCAGTTTCAATCAACACGATACTATCTCGATCCAGTGCTCCTAAGGTCCCCAATCAACAATCAATCATGGATATGGGCGGGATGACCATGTCAACGGCCACTGCCACAGCCTCGGCAGCGATGGCCAGTGCCACCAAAGCGGACGTGGGACATAGTTGCAAAATATCGGTCCGTCTAATATCAATCGCACATTCACTACCTTGTATGGATTCAAGCTTACTCACAGTCATGATCAGATGCTTTGGAACTGGTATACAATCGACTCATGTACGCAGCCCCAGCTATAATCCCTCTGCACAAGGCTATAAAGCCAACTAAACCAACCTAGGCTTCCTCGCCAAAACATGGCACATCAGGACGCGCGGCATGTTCGCCGGCTCCTGTATTGGAGTGATCTGCCTCGTATTGAGCCTTGAGTTCCTCCGCCGTCTAGGCCGAGAATACGACTCCTTCATAGTGCGTCGAGCCCGCCTTCGAAGACTCTACATGTCGGACTCTTCTACCGCGCAATCCATCTCCAACGTCCCCCTGCGCAGCGAAGAAGACACAGACACCACCAAGCCGCCCGGCAACTGCTGCGGCGGCAACGCAGAGATCGACGCTAGGTCCTCCGCAGACGACGACATCATCACTCCTGTGTCGGGTGCTCCCCAGAACGGAGTGTCGAAAAATAAGGCTTCTGTCTCTGCTGCTGCGCCGGCTAATTGCATTCGGGATGTCGGCGGCCAGAGACAGGATGCTTTGCTTGCCCCGTATCGTCCGTCGCTTGTTGAGCATTCTCTGCGCTCGCTGCTGCATATGACGCAGTTTGCTGTTGCGTACATCATCATGCTGCTCGCTATGTACTTCAATGGGTATATCATCATCTGTATCTTCATTGGTGCCTTCCTGGGCGCGTTCATCTTCTCCTGGGAGCCGGTGGACTTGAATAAGGAGTAAGTTGTTTCGTTCAACTACTATACTTTCACCAGGGCTAACATGGCTTCTTTCTTCTTCAGGTCAGATGCTACGTCTGTCACTAAGTGCTGTGGTTAAATGCCTGGGCATGGTGTGTTGTCTTGACTTGCGTTCCAATTACGATTTGATTCTACACCAGCATCTCTGGATGCGTCTGATATCCCCGGTATTTGTTTTCTCTGTCTCGAAATGGCAGAGGGTAATATGCACTTGCTTGTGTCCACAATTATTCCTCCTTGTTTCTGTTCTTGTCTTTTGTTCTCACCTGTAATGCCATGACGTATGAACCATCTCTTCTATCTCGATTACTCTCTACTCAATTGCCCTCTCACAATAAATGAAACAGACTTACAGTAGAGTATGCATCACCCATTACTAATATCATCTGACTACCAAGGTACTAGGTTATCTATTGGAGGCGGTGGAAACGTTTTCCGCTAAAAAAAAAAAACCTGCCGCACGCGGGGTAAGGTGATGTAGTTAGCCGCAGACCCCGCCGAGTGATCGAACCACCACACCATACGTGGGGTTCTTTGCTGGGAGAAGACCTGGGAAGGAATGGCAATAGGAGCACCTGGATGATTTCGTGCTTTGCCGTGGATTGACTCGAAATATGTTTAGGTTGACATGCAGGTTTTAGGAGCTTGGCTCAAAGGTAATATCTAGAAAAGTCGCTCTTACAAAACTACTAATCCTCAAATTGAACATTAAGTCCCCACGACAGATAGGAATGTATGAGCTAGCTTGGTAGAAACTTTAGATTACAAGGCGCAAAAGGGAAAGCCACCTATGCTAGTCCCACGCCGCACTAGAGCGTTGGGAAAGAAGCAAGTCCATGACGAAAAGAAAGACGTTCATCCTCCCAACACCCAACTAAATCTCCAGAATGAGCTTTTTAGTTGCCACCGCAGTTGACGATGGTGGGCTTGACAGCGGAGCGGATGGAGCCGGAGGAGGAGCCGAGGGCCTCGATCTCCTTGACAACCTTCAGGGACTCATTATCAGCGACCTCGCCGAAGACGACGTGCTTGCCATCGAGCCACGAGGTGGCAACAGTGGTGATGAAGAACTGGGAGCCGTTTCTAGAAAAGAGGGAAACGGTCAGTATGGTTCTCTGGATGTAGACCAGCCGGGATACAAGACTGAGACTTACGTGTTGGGGCCAGCGTTGGCCATGGACAGAAGACCAGGGCGGGTGTGCTTGTGGACGAAGTTCTCATCGGGGAACTTCTCGCCGTAGATGGAGCGGCCACCGGTACCCTATTCCGGTAAAATCAAAATCAGATACCGAGCATTAGGCGGTTGTCAGGATTAGAAAACTTACGTTGCCACGGGTGAAGTCACCACCCTGGAGCATGAACTGGGGGATGACACGGTGGAAGGAAGAGCCCTTGTAGCCCTCACCCTGCTTGGCGTTGCAAAGCTCAGCGAAGTTCTTGGCAGTCTTAGGGACCTCGTCGGGGTAGAGCTTGAAGTTGATGCGGCCAATCTTGGCTAATGAGGAGTTAGCATCAATTTCAATTCCAATTACTGAGACATGATGTGAAACCTCCAAGCTTTGATGCTAGCATTGAAAGCTGAAGGTTGGAGACAGCAAGGTGAGGCTGGAGCGCGGAGGCAAAAACTCCCTGCCCCGCCGGAAACGAGAATAACAGGAAAACTTACGGGTAGAGGAGCCAGCAGGGGCGTACTGGACCTCGAAGAAAGCGGTAGTGTTGGGGGTGGACATAGCGGCGGTTGATGAAGCGAAAGATCGGGCAGCGGGGTGGAAAGAAGTGCAATTGAAGAGGGAAGAAGAGAAGAGGGAAGAAGGTGGGGTTATTGACCTCAGTCGGCAGAACATGGTGAGGGGCAGGGCGGAGCGGGTGAACTCGGGTGCCGGGCTACTTTGGGGTTAGCTTGCTGGGGTTGACTTAAAGACCACTTGTGCAGTTTCTGCCTGAGGCTCCACTTTGGAGCTTCTCCAGACTTCCAAGGGGGAAAACATCACTGCCTCTGTTGCCTAATGATGTCTCCGAAAGAGTCTGAAGCAAAGTGGATATTTTCTCTATCCTTCAGATGAAAAGGGACCAATCGCACTTACAAAGGATATAGATGATGAGGAATGCGAATTAAAGAAGTAGAAAGAAGGAAAAAAACGAAGCTCAACGCCAAAAGGCGTCTAGAGCTCCGAGATTATGTAATGTCTTCCGGGATATCCCTTCCGAACTAGCAATCTTGGCTACAAGAAGACATGCATCTTTCGAGGGGGAAACTTGCATTGATTTATTGGTATAGTCATTATGTTGAAGATGTACAGGGTACTTTCATTTTGTATGCATCCAAATGCAAAGAAATGATAGCCCGACACCAGCAAGCGGTCGTGAGATAAAATAAAGAGGCACGAATCAACATGAAATCAGGCCGAAAAACCTAGATGATCAATACAAAAGGGCTAAAATAAAGTACAAAGAATAGGAAAATATAGGAGAAATGACAAAGGGGCAGGAAAGCCCATAAATGCCACACATGTCGGGACATCGTTTCGACATTGTCCGCTCGTTGCCATAGATAAATAGTCGCTGAAAAGCAAGGGGCAAAGAGGAAGGAATATAAAGAAGAATTTGAGGGGAAAGAAAGACAAAATGAGTAGCTCCGAGTTCACCTGATGAAAAACAATACTTCGGTTAAGCTCATTTACCGGAAGTCATCTTCCTCGCCAGTAGCCACCGATGTAGCCTCAAGCCGCTGAACGAGGTCTTTGATCTGCCGAGCGATCTCAAATGCAATGGGAGGCAGTTTGTTCGTGAGCTCATGCAATTGCTCCGGGGTGGTGGCGTCTTGGCCCTCACCGGCAGTGGCCGCCAACCGGCCGCGACACTGGTCCAATGCCGCGATGACTGGTTCAGATGTCTGCCGCAAAGTGATGTCTCCGCTGCGTTCGCGCATCAACTGCTCTGTAGCGGATACCACATTCGCAACAACGTTCGAAATGGCAGATACGTGCGTCTGAACAGTTTGCAGGTTGTCCTCGGCTCGGATACTGGCCACCAAAGCCTGGATTTGTTGGACCATGCCATCGGTCTGGTCCTCGACATAGAGCTAGGATCATCCGTCAGTAAATCATTCGTTGAGCGGTATTATCTTTCTCCGGTCGACCCACCTTAAGTTCCAACACCTCATGATCTTCTTGCACATGCCCCCAGCCATGATTGAGGTCATTAGTCGCGCCATTCTGCGCAGGGTACTGAGAGTCATCTGGACGACTAATAGCACTGTAGACGGAGTTATTGCTCATCCGCTTTTGACTGCCAGATGTACCAAAATAGTCGGGGAATTGGTCTTGAGGTACATCCACCTCATAATCTTCATCCTCCAGCTCATCTATAGGCGATGCCTGGATCTTCACCACCCGTATCAGGTCAACAATAGCGGTGCAAAGATGTGAGGCCGCTGCATCAAGGAGCGACACCGGGGATAAACCACCAGAGCTAGCGAAGTTGCGGGTAGCGGTGATCATGTTGTTTGCTGTCGTAGACACCTGGCCCTTGACCTTTGCGCGCAGAGCAGCCGACCCATCCACCGGGATCGAGGAATACTCCACGTCCTGCAGAATATGGCGAACTGTTACAATGACCATCTTAATGTGTTGGAGCACCACATGCGATTCCTCGAAACGCGCAACTCGCAGGAGCTCGTCCACAGATACCTGGAACTTAGTAACATGGATATCTTTGACCAACCCGTCGGCTTGCACCAACTCATGCTCTTTGGCGACAAGACTTGCGTCGGGCCGCGAGTCGGCGAAACCACCAGAGGACGTGCGAAGATGCCGCAGCTGCGCCTTGACCTTGGCATAACGATGCTTCCATTCGTTGGCATCTGCCTCGAGTCTGTGCACCTCATGCGAGAGCTGTTCTTCGCGCTCCCAATTAGACTGACTCTCGGCTGAAAGAGTCTTCATTTCCGTCAGGAAAGCCGCTGCCTCGCGGCGGACCTCGTCGGTCACCTGTTTCTGCTGCTGCAACTCTGCCTGCAAGTTCTGGTGCTGAGTCTCTAGATCAACATAGCGCGCTTGTAGACCCGCATCATCGACACCCCGGGAAGAGTCATTAAGCTGACTGCGAAGATCTCGTTCCACAGTCTCGTGCTCGGTTCTAACCCGCTCAAGCTCTAGCTGAAGCGAGCTGTTGAGATCCTCGGCTTTTGATACCTTACTCTCAAGATCATGTCGTAACTCGTCCCACTCCTGGCGTTCGTTATGACTGATCCCGGAAGAATCTGCATCTTGTGATGACTGGGCCAACTCTTCATCCTTGGCGCGGACTAATTCTTCCAACTTTTCGATCTTATCTTGGAGAACCGATACTTGTGTCTGGCTTTCTAATAACAATCTCCGCTCACTCTCACCCAAGGTCGTTGTAGTACCCCGTCGGCTCAGAGCATCTAGAGCGAACGCATCACTCCGAGCATCATCCTCATCATCTGGCCCCATATCATCGCTATCCTCGACCATCGTGCTCTTATTCGGGACCATAGTATTGCTCTGGAAAGACCGAGGAAACGGTCCATCGCCATTTATACTCGGTGGGCCCCCAAGAGAGCCAGCACGCGGAGGAAACGGACTGCCTGGGGGACCACCAGACGGGTACCCGCGGCCCATATGCGGGGGAGGACCCCGAGCAGACTGTTGCGAGGTGCGAGCGCTACCAGGGCCCATATTGGGAGGCGGTCGGGCGCGGTAATCTCGGCTGGTGAAATGCGGGAAGCGGCGCTCCAGCTCACAGAAGACATCGGTCGCCAAATCTCGGAAGCGCACGTGGTGGAGCGCAGCAAGCTTTTGGCGGGCATGGTTGCGCTTTTCGTGGAAGTCGCTTCGAGCGGGGAGATAAGGAGGCACGTCCGTACGAGGTGGCCGTCCAGGAGGCGGCGAGGCCTGCTGTCGCCGGATCAATTCGTCGTAAACATCGGTGGAAAGTTCATGGAACTGGGTTGGCGATAGCCGCAGCAGTTTATCTCGGGCTTTATTCGACTTGCCACGGTCGTCGCGGGCTGTGCCATTCAGGAATCTTTTCAGGACCACGTAGTGCTGGCCCAGGATCTCCTCCATCTGACGATAGCGTCTTCCATCGCGCGGGCCGTCTCCTAGTGTCCCGGAACTGGATCTTGCGGCGACTGAGCTGGGCGGGGATGGGTTACCGCTTCGGATGGAGGGTGATATCGAAGGAGGTGGCCCACTGGGACTTAGCGGTACGCTCGGGACGCCGGAGGTCGGAGGTGTGGCTAGGTTGGCTCGCGATGATGGTGAGAATGGCCCGTCCGACTTTCCATACTGATTTAGTCCCGACCATTCGCTACCATCAACAGAGACAGGCGACATGGCTCCCGAACCCCCATGCATATCAGGCTCAAACTGGGGGTGTTCTGATTTCTCACTATTGAATATTCACACTCGCTGTCCGACGGGGCCAGCTGTCACAGATAATCGATAAAGGCATTCACTTCGTCACGGTAAAAAAAACGAAATCCCCTGTATTTCTCCACTAAGATCCCAATCTGAGACAATGTAACCGGAGGTAGGTGAGGAGTCGTGATTCGCCACGAGGGAGTCGTAAATAGTCGAAGAATACGAACAGCGAAAGCACCAGATCCGAAAGAGTGAAGGACTGGACTGATATGGTGGAAAAGGGACAAACCGAAAGTGCGAAAGTGGTTTTAGTAACTGAACTCTCCGCAGTTCCCTTACGGCAATACCAGTCTGTTACTTCGAGTTCCTTACTCCCCGGGGCCGTACAGTATTAGCGCTACTATATGTATGCATCTACAGGGATTTATGCGTGAGGGTATGATCTCAGATCTGATGCGCATTATTTTTCTTTCCTTTTTTTTATGTATTCCTTTTACTTGGCTGACTGCATAACCCCAGGAACATCGTTTTCCTAAAGCTTGATCAATAATAAGATCACTAGTCAAGTCGAAAAGTGGCTATACTCGTATATGATACTTGTATTCTATACCTCTCCCTGCCAAGGCCACGGGCCAGGGGAACTCCCAGCATACTACATAGTTACTACTTCGTACACATCTATGTACTAGAATGTATCGAGGAATTACATATCTATAAGTAATGTAGCTAACTTTAAACATGTTCAATAAAATCATATCCAGACATTGACCTTGACATATCTACATGGACTTACCTTCTACTCCGTATATCAAATTTAATAATAGAACCATCCAAATGAGAAGAATTCAGGAGTTGACGATTCTAGGCCCTTGCCTTGCCCCATAATTTTGTACACCGTATAATTTTGTATGTTGTATGTTGTAACCGACAGTCCACGGGTCCCACCTTGTATTATTTGAGAACTAGGCCTGGAAAACAAATAAATTCTTTCGGTCATATCTATGGGAATGGGAAGTGTAAAATGTAAAAAAAAATGCCGAAACAACTAAGTACACAATGTGGAACAGCTTCAATACACGCATGAATGCTTTGAAGCATTGGTTATAGTGCTCCCAAGGGAGATGCCTTCAGTATGCCTCATTTGGATCTTGCTGATCCCCTGGCATCGAATGATTCTTCAATACCGGCCTGTCCGGAGACCGGATAGCGTCAGTAATTGAATTTTTTTTTTTTTTTTTACTGTCAGTTGAGATGGTCTCCCATTATAATGCAGAGGCAAAGACAAGGCGAGCGGTAGGTACGCCAAAGAGTCTTGAAAGTGAATGGTATCGGAAGAATCATGGGTCGTAGCCACACATTTACATTGGCCTACAGCTGCGGGCCAGGAGGAGTGAGTCATGTCATCGTTTATTTGGAGGTCATGGAAAGGCCACGGGTGGCGCTAACGGCAGAAGACACGGGGGTTGAGGACCGTGTGGGAGCTGCGCTACGGTTGTGGGCCATGTGTGCCTTGACGAGATGACCGGCGGCGAGCGCAGAGCAGAGACTGAGCTCACCGGCGAGAACGGAGGCAGCAATGATACGAGACAACTGGCGTGCGTTTTCGCCGGGGTAAGTCGAGTGAGCACCGCGGACACCCAGGAGATCCAGCATAGCACCTTGCGCTTCAAGGATAGTGCCACCGCCAATGGTGCCTACCTCAATGGAAGGCATAGACACAGCGATCTGGAGGTTGCCATTGTTGCTGTTGAGGAAATCATTATTAGCATCTCAATGGTCAAAAAGTGGCGGATGATAAAGCTTACTTCTTCATGGTTGTGATACAGCTGCTGCTCTCAACGTTCTGGGCCGGATCCTGACCAGTGGCCAGGAAAATGGCAGACACGATGTTAGAAGCATGAGCGTTGAAGCCACCCAAGCTGCCCGCCATCGCACTTCCGATCAAATTCTTGCTGACGTTCAGCTCAACCAGTGCGTCGACGTCGCTCTTAAGGACACTCTTGACAATATGGCCAGGAATGATAGCCTCTGCCACGACGGACTTACCACGGCCATCAGTCCAGTTGATAGCAGCAGACTTCTTATCTGTGCAGAAGTTACCAGAAAGCGAAATGATGGACATGTCATCGAAACCACACTCCTTATGCATAACGTCCAGTGCCTTCTCGCAGCCTTTAGAGATCATGTTCATACCCATGGCATCACCAGTGGTAGTCTTGAAGCGGATATACAGGTAGGTTCCGGCAAGGGCAGTCTTGATGCTCTGCAGACGGGCAAAGCGACTGGTCGAGTTGAAAGCTGTTGTCATGATACTCCGGCCTTCCTCGGAATCGATCCAAACCTTAGCAGCGGCAGCCCGGGCCAAGGTTGGGAAAGTTACACAAGGACCACGAGTCATACCATCACCGGTCAGCACAGTCACTGCACCACCACCGGCGTTGATTGCCTTGGAGCCACGACTTGTACTAGCCACCAAGACACCTTCGGTAGTAGCCATGGGGATAAAGTAATTTTGTCCATCGATATTGAGAGGACCAGCGACACCAACAGGAAGGGGCAAGTATCCGATAACGTTTTCACAGCAAGCACCGTGGACAAGGCCATAGTTGTAATTCAGGTAGGGGAGCTTGGAGTTTTCCAAAACGGAAGTGATAGCAGAGGTAGTAGGAGTCCGGGAGACCACAGATCTGCGGATCTTCACAGCACGAGTAAAGGCATCAACACGACTCATCAAGTTCTCATCCTCCATAGACTTTTCCAGCGCGTAACCTGGAAGCTTGCCGCGGAGGGAAAGATCGATCAGCTCCTCATCGGTAAGCAAGGGCGCACGCTTTGCCCTGAGCAGAGACTCGCATTCTTCGACGCTCCTTCTTGACTGTTGTTCATTTGGTTCAAACTTGGGGTAGACCTTCGGTGCGATCACAGGCTCGGGAAGGGTCTCAGGGTCCTTGATACTCCAACGGGCAGCATTGAAAAGATATCCGTTAAGGATGATGCTGAGAGTCAAAGCGGCGATGATCCATTTGCTGATGACAGGGTCTTCGACGCTCTTGAGCAGACTTTCGAGAACCTTGCCACCCACGGCATCCAAGAACTGATCAGTGTACTCGATGTCAAACGAACCAGAGTCGGTAAGAGCTGCGTAGTGAACTGAGGGGTACTCCAACTTGTACTTGATCGGCGAAAGGATGGTAACAATAGTCTCCTGCTTCTGGCTCTTGGCAGCCACGTACACACTATCCAGGCCATTCTCTGCCACTTTGAAAGGATCGATGGGGGTAGGAGACAGGACGTTGGAGAAACGCGAGAGCAGGCCACCGTTGCCGGTGTTCCGGAAAGGAATGGCTGACATGTTCACGACATTGATCAAAATCAAACCACCAACCATGATAATCTTGAACCGGCGCACATTGCTCGACTTGATCTTGCGGCCAAAGATGCTGGTGTCCGCCTCGCCAGATCTGGCGTTAGGCCAGTCGTTGCTAGAAGCGACATTCTCGGCAACGGTGTGGGTAATGCCATCTTCTTCTAAGGCCTTGCGAAGTGCCACGTGACGCTTTATCCGAGTGATCTCGAGCTTGATGCAGAGAATGGTGGTATAGAAGGTGAAGAGAAGCACGCAGTCAAAGAACAAGATCAAAGCTGCGAGGAAGCAGAACTGCTGGAGTCCACCCTGGACGCCAGATGCCGCACCCAAAGCCAATAGACCAATCTCAATGCAGTAGTGCTGAACGATCTCGTAACCTTGGTCCTTAATCGCAGCTGCGATAGAGTCCTGGATGGACCTCGGTGTGCTCGATGCCAGCGGGCGAGGGGCAGCGCCGGGAAGAGGTCGGCGATTGTCCACGGAAGCTTTCAGGACGGCCCGAGTGAACATAATCGGCTTCTCAAATCCAATGGTGACAACCAAGAATGGAAGACCTTCAGACAGCAAGAGGAGGTTGATAGGCACGCCCAGCCTAGTGGTCACGTGTAGTCCAAAAAGGAATGCAAAGGTGCCAGAGAGGAGCACGGTAGCCCCAAGCCAAAAGTTGGAGCCCAATCGTCGCATGGAGAAGAAGAGTGAGACGAAACTCAGGTGCATCGAGAGGTAGCCAAGAGCCATGATAACAATGTCAATGGTTTCCGCGTGCTTGATCAGATCCACAAAGGAATTCCATGAATCCGCGATCCAGAGCTTTACAGCTCTGCGGGATCCGTGGACCGGGCCACGAGCAGCTCTCATGATCCATTTCTTGGATTCCACCTCATTCCCATCCGTGGGTGGGGCAGGGATCTCCTGCACAGCTCTCAAAAGTTCGGAGACTTGTTCAAAGGGCACGGTGTAAACCAGGGAAGCGTCATGAGTAAAATGCGAGAAGAGGTTCGGGGTGTACGGTACCGAGTTGGCGGAGATATCGGCAGGAATCGGGACATCATCAGCTGCCGGGGCAGTTGAATCAGAGTTGGTGGAATCAGGGAAGATGAGGGTCGTCAGAGCCAGGTGCTGGGCAGCAGGCTTCTTATTCTAACATTTCATTGAGTCAGTATATCATTCTCGACGCCCAAGAAGAACGGTGGGGTGAAATGGGCTCACCTGGGGGTCAGTCCACGCATCTTCCGCCTGCCACTTCCAGGAAGTTGATTCTCCGAGTCGCAGATTTCGACTTCCCTGGAGAAGGGCATCGGTGTCGACCTGTCCCGCGACACTTAACGAGTCTTTCGGGGTATCAAGCAGGCTGCCTTCGAGCAGACCCACATAGGTAGTGCTGGCAAGGATGGCGATCACCACAAGAGTGTGAATAGGGTGCACACAGGCCCGGTGAGAAATAAACTGGAGGCCTGACACAACTTGACGCCGGATCCAGCTGGGTTGAGTATTCTGCTCTTCCTCGTTTGAGCGAAGGCGTTTGGTGATGAACGAGGTAGCCATGTTGACTAGTCGCGGAGGAAGCGGTGAGGACGTCTGTTGAAGGCGTTGTGTTTAAGACGGTCCGCAAGGACCAGAACCTGCGAGGAAAGCCGTCGTGGGATGATGTTTTACACCAAAACCAATCCTGAGGAGAAAATCTTTGAATTAAGATCTAATTCTAGGAGCGCATATGGGCTGCACAAGTCGATGTTGACTGGACAGGATTCCGGGCTACTGTTTTTTTCTTCTCTTAGTTGCAGAAACCAAGGTCCAAACCAAAAAAATAATACGTACCGAGGGGAGAAGTAAAGAAAGCTCAAGGCACAGCCCTTGGAATCGGAGGTCGTAAAGGGAAAAAAAAGCAAGGGCCCCCTGAAGCTGAAATAATAGGTGCCCGAGACCGCTGGAATTAAGTATCGCCGACAACGGGGTCGCCAAGACTTCAGCTAGTGGAGAATTGGTCGGGTTTCCAGCGAGGCGATTTATTATTGGAGAATCTTGGTATTTTATAACGAGAACAAAGAATAAATAATAAATAATAGAAGCGTTAGGAACCTTGGAAGAATGGGCAGAACAATAATATGCCGGATCCTCGAGTCAAGCTGACATGGAGGGGAAATTCCACGATTACGATCCAGGCTGCAATATTTCATAAAGAACTACATATAGCGGAATGGCTTGAAGAGGGTGATATGGAGGAATAACATAGTATTTGTAAATGGCAATTCAAGTCCGCGGGTGATGCAGTAGACCCTTTAGAGAAAATTCCCACCGAACAAAAGCCCAAGTAGGTAGGTACCGAGTGCCTACAACAGACAAAGTACAAAGTACAACCCAAGGAATTGGAGCTATTGAATGCACAGGCATTTGTTTATATTTACGCCGATCCTTTAACTATAGTCATGGGACATGGGACACAGCATACCATGTTGCACACTATACATAGTGAATTGAATTAGGAATCTTTAGGAAGACATTCAATCTATATTGCTCAAATCTTGACATCTTTACGTGATACAAAACAGAATGTGGGAGAGAAGCAACAAAGGCTCCACTCGTTTTGTTCAGGGTTATTAGCCCTGTATTATTCAAATGAGGTTTTGTTCCGTCCACGTCAGCCACATTTCCCTTAGTCTGAAGAGGGAAGTCGAGGGATATACGGAGGACTGGGCATCCAATCTGCGAGTCCATGTCAGAAAAAGAGTCCACCCAATTTCTCTCATACCAGTGAGATGGAATCCACCCGGTGGAGCTACGGAGAAATCTGATAAAAATCTGATAAAAATCTGATAACTCGGAGTCAAATCATCTTCTCGGATTGACCCGGTGCAGACTCCATATATCCATAATAAACTCGGTAACCGAGCTTGCCAAGTGAAAAAGAGAAAAAGATTAGATCGTTGACTTGGTAAATGCCGAGTTACTCCGGTCTTGGGAATGTGCAGAACTTCTCACTTTCTGAGGTGCCTTGGGTGCCTTGGGTGGCCTCAAGTGGCTTTCCTATGGTATTGGTGCTCTCTGATGCTTGTTGGTACTCCCCTTTTGCTGCTTTTTTGATCACCAAGTGAACCCCATGGACTGGGCCCTAAGCCAGGGGTCGCCGGGTGGCACCTCCTGAAACCTGGGCCTGGGGGGCATCTGGGCACTCCCCATTCATTATGTAAGCCTGTAGTTGGGATTGTCCTGTATTTTGATCAGCGTGTTCGCAATCGTATTAGTAGATTACAATGTCAGGGTCAGCCTGCGACAATCATGTGCTCATAGATTTGGGAACAACCAACTGCCATAAGGGGTGGTCATGATAAAGGGGGACAAGAACAAATGAAACAGACATTACCAGCTACCTATAAGCGACCACTCGGGGTGGTGACGCATACGGGTTATAGTTTGCTGAGCGTTGACGAACCAAAGTCTGTCCTAATGTGACCTACTGTAGGGGGTAGCCTAGGTTATTTTGCTGAGCGAACAGCAAAATAATAGAGTCGTTCAGGCAAGGGAATACTAGGCCTAACGTAATTCCCGGTCGAGCTGCGCACCCGGGCGAGCTGCGCAGCCCAGAACACATAGTAAAAGCGACAAATTACAACATGATATTTCAACAACCAACGCTCTTTTTTAATTTTATTACTCGCCGATAGCAATTGATAAGCATTTGTAGTATCATATATCAGTTTTGAATAAATCGAGAACTTGCATTATTATGGTATCGAAAAATACGTCGCTGAACCCTAGAAATATATATATCTCAGTCACTAATTTATTAAATCCCTTTAAACTCCAGTAAGTAGCTAGATATCAGATAAAAAGCATTAGACTAGAAGGAAAAGCTCATATAGACAACCGTTGTTGAAATATCATGTTGTAATTTATCGCTTTTACTACAGTGGCGTTGCATGAGTATTTGTACCCCGGTACCTCTACCATTGACCGCTCTGTGAATACCGCCTGCCTATTCCTATTATTATAGGAGCCACCCGCATAGTGCGACTGGCTGGGAGTGAGTACGAAGTTTTTCCGGCAGAAAATAGGGCCCCCCCCCGAAGTACTGGGGTGCAAATACTCATGAAACATGACTGTATGTGTTCTGGGCTGCGCAGCTCGGCCGGGAATTACGTTACCCTAAATTAGGCGGCCATTGCGTAGCCACCCTTTAACCAAGTAAACAATCAACCAATTAAATAATTAAATAATTAAACCGCGGTATAGCCACTATGCCGGCTGCAGGCCATTTAAGCAAGTAAGCAAGCAAGTAAGCAAGCAAGTAAGCAAGTAACTAAGTAGGTAAGCAAGCAAGTAAGCAAGTAAGCAAGTAAGCAAGTAACTAAGTAACTAATTGAGCAAGTAAGAAAATAAGTAAACCGTGGCGTAGCCGCTACACCGGCTGCAGCCCATTTAAGCAAGTAAGTAAATAAGCAGATAGGCCTACCCCTACCGCCTACCCCTAGGGTCCTACCCCCCTAGGGGTGGGGGGTGGGGGGTAGGTTCGAATGCCTAAAGGCTTATATAACCTAGGCTACCCCCTATATGTAGTAGGTCACATTAGGACAGACTTTGATTCGTCTACGCTCAGCAAACTATAACCCGTATGCGTCACCACCCCGAGTGGTCGTTTACAGGTAGCTGGTATACTCTATATAAGCCTTTAGGCATTCGAACCTACCCCACCCCCCACACCCCCCCCTAGGGGGTAGGCGGTAGGGGCAGGCTTATCTGCTTATTTACTTAGTTACTTACTCGTATAACTAGTTAACTAGTATTCCCTTGCCTGAACGACTCTACGAGGGATCTCGCCGGCCTGCGGCCGCGAGATAGTTGTGCAGAACGAAACGACTAACTGCTCTTTTTTCATGCCGCCATATGTAAATAAACAATGTAAACAGTGTAAATAAAATAAATAGGTAGGGTCTTATAGCTGAGAG